ATAAAAAACACGAAGAGTCGCAAAAAGGCAAACATGGTCGAAAAGCATTACATGATGAGGAAGAACGTGAAGAGCCGAAAAAAGGCAAACATGGTCGAAAAGCATTACATGATGAGGAAGAACGTGAAGAATCGAGAAAGGGGAAACATGTTTGAAAAGCATTAGATGATGATGAAAAACACGAAGAATTGGAAAAAGCATCGGAACATGGTGATGAAAAACGCGAAGAATCGAAAGGACGCAAACATGGTGGCGATGCGGCTGATGAAAAATTAAGAGGTAAGTGTCATTAATGTAGTTTGGTCTGATGGACGTTTCTGAAAGGGAACGGCTTGGTAAAGGAAAAATTGAATCATGTAGGATTCAAGGAGCTGCCTGAGTATTTTTTCTGTAACCTAGGGAATGAATGGCAACTAGTTGGTGGTTAACGTTGTGTATTGGAGAGGAGTCGTTTGTCAGAATAGCGTACGGAGAGTGATATCGGAAATGAGTAGATGTAGAAGAATGGGGAGATTGTTTGTCTGAAGTGTCATGTGCGATTAATGCGGTATAAGCAAACTTTTAGAAGGGAAATTTTTTGAAATCCGACTGTTTTGGTCAGGTTTTCTAGTCTTTGTGTAGGAGATATGATGGACGGTTGCGATGCGCTGCACGGAGTGTCGCTTGTGAGCTTTGGTATGTGTACTTCTCAAATAAGTGGGATTAGTTACTGTAGTTGAACCTAGTAAGAAAATTTTGGGTTTAATGGTTTTTAAAATATGAATGAATTGTTCATCTGCTCTTGAGTAAAGCTTTGTCGATCTATTTCAGTTGCAATTCGGATATAGGCTCTATTATGTACTGATATAGTGATAATTGTTGTGTACTGCGTTGTTTGACTTCAACGCTCGGTTGATTTAGGAGTAAGAAATGCAACAAATACAATCGAGGAACTATTGAGCTTATGTAGTCGCTGATTGAACGGAGTGGCGGATGTATTATAATATTTTCCGTGGATGTGGCCATGATCTTACTCTCATGAATCGTAGTCAATTGGAAGCAAATCCATGTCACTGAAGTTAGGACTCCACAATTCACTAGTGACGATGATGTCAGATGATTCAATATTCTAGTGATCTGTGACACTGATCCTATCGGTGTTCAGTAAACTAACTTCCAGCATTCTTAGAAGTATCACAGAAGAATTGATTGTGTGATGAATAGTATTGTGCTAGGACAAGATTGGTGTGTGTCGATCTATATAGTTGTCTTTATTATGCGAATTGCTTTTCTTAAAATGATATTTTCTACTTTCCTGTTAACAGTCAGTAGCAATCAGTTTTGCTTTTAGAGTAGACTCAATATTGCTTGGAAGTAAGCTCAGTCGTGCTTGTACTTCCAATTGAGAATTTATATGTTTGTGAAGCTTTTAATAATTATTGGACATTTCGTTGTCGGCGACCGGTTTGTGTGCGACGTTTATTATGATATTTATTTGCTTGCATTTTGAACATCTAAATCTATGAAAGCTCAGAGTTTCGGAGGGAATACAATAATGAGAAAATGTAGGGATATTAAAAACGGTCTACCATATCTGTCATTATTTTAATAGTAATGATATGATCGTGGAACAGAAAGAAAAAGTTAGCAATAGAGAATCTCTTTTAGGTTTCCACTTCTTAGCTGGTACTATGTGTTTTACTCTTATTACAGAAAAGGACAGTGAATATTTACAGTTTTCAGCATCCTGTATTTCTCTTTTGTTGTCCTGCTTCTGTTATTATACTCATGCACAGTTTTGAATGTCTGAAGTTCAATCTACAAATATCATAATAAGTTTGGTGTGCAAGCTATGAGTCGACGACGAAATATGAAATAATTATTAAAATTAAAAAGAGGCAGTTAAATCTTAAACAATAATGAAGGAGATCATATACAAAAACAGTGTTTTTATTGTTTTTCGTATGGAACGAAGTAAAAACGATTCTAAGAATTTATTTAGCCTCTGTAATACAAAAATACGATCATGATTCGAATAATTTTCGTGTCTTTCGATGGAAAATAACATTGTCAGCTTTGAATATATCTATATTTTTTCTCACGAGGAAGCAAAAATGATGATACAATGCGTCATTTTATTCTTCATTATAAATATTTATTTTTCCTCGAACCGACTCTTTTTCCTTTATTTTCAACGTATAGTCGATGGAGTTTTGATAAAATAGACTAAACGGTACTATCGTTTATATTAGTTCGAGTGATTGAAACAAAATGAGTCGATTAAGTCAAAAATATTACTGAAATAATAAAATATTTCCAATTTGTCCTGTTTTCAACCGCAGTGATCTCCTGCTTGACCATATAACAAAAGAGATCCCATTCAAATTTTCTTCAAAACGAATGATGTAGACTGACGATTTCTTTCATGTGAGTGAGATTTCTAGTCGTACTAGTATTTCTCTTGAGAGAAACAAAACATGTTACCATTTACTTAAACCTTTCATTGCCCAATAGCATTTTTTTTATCTGAACGGTCAATTAAACAGAAAAAAACATAGAAAGTACATTTTTCCTCTATAAGATGAGCCATTTTCCTATAAAATATTTTCCAACAATACTCTAAGTTACAGTTTGGGAAAGCACAATTCCAAAAAAAAATGAAAATTGTTCGCTTTCAACAAAATAGTACGGTAAGGCAATCATACTTCAAAATTCCATGTATAGACATAACCCATCTTTCAACAACATTCCAATCAGGGACACAAACCATGATAGGAAACGTTCTTAAACAACAAGCTTTCCGCATCATTTGAGCCTCTATGAAAGCGAACCTACCATGAACATCACTGCAACCAATCACTACCCTATTGGACGAGATACCCTGAAATGTCGCAGCACTAAAAACCTAAAATTTTCATTTCGAAGCCAGGCCTGCCATTTCTTATTTTTCAAATGGGGTACATAAGTTGAGTCAATTGTCTGCCTCCTAAAGTAGAGGATTTAATTGAAAAAATCGATCAGATAAACACCACCATTAGAAATAGAAAAAGTCTGATTTACTTATAGAACACTGAGAGAAATATTTATTAATTCGACATTCTCTGAGAAATGCTATATATTTATGATCTTTCAACCATTTTTGGTTGAACATACAATGTCTTTTTGACTTTGATGAATATTTTTTTTCTTTGATATTGGTAGTTGGCTTGTCTCGGAAACTGGGAAATTCTTCACTTGCTGTTGCTTCTGAATCATCAGAAATTTCAATTTCATAATCTTTGTTCAATGACATGCAAAAATTATCACTAAAACCAAATGCATTGAAGAGAAAGTCTAACGCTCGATTCATTTTTGAGACAATACGTATTTATCAAACTTAATAGAAAAAAGTAACGAAACGATGGGAAAGGAGAAAAAGAAAAATTCTATCAAATTTATTTCATTATTCATAGTGAAAATAGTATGTAAAAATGAATAATTAAAAACAAAATTAAACAAAATGGGTACTATTATCTATTGATCAGTTATTTATCAACACATTTTATTATACATTTCTTTATGAAAATGAGAAAAGTCTAGAGAAAGACAGGTTGCTTTCATTAGAAGATTAGTTAGTCGTACCGTAAACTTAAAAGTTTAAATTGGGTACAAAATGATGAAATGAGGTACAGTTGGCAGCCCTGTTCGAAGCATAGCTGCCCCTACATAAGGCACCACATCACTAACCTTACACGATTTGCCCATCAACCAGAATTTTCATAATAACTTTCTCATAAATACTACAACCAATTCTAATTCTAGGCGCACTTTCCCATGCATCACAAACTGCTGGAATATCGGGAACGACAATGAAAGTTGCAAAAGCCGAAAGTGACGGAAAGCAAACTGCTGGTCCAGAAGTCGGTGAAAGTACAAAAAGTGAGTTATTTGAATCAATGGATCATCTTGTTTTCATGAATGTTGCGTTTTTTCAGGTCAACATGCGTAAGATATCAAGCGGGGACATCAGTGGGTGTGGGTTTATGGTTAGTTAGTAGATGGTCGGACCGGTGCTTTCTGTAATAAAAGCATTCATTTGTCCGCCATTTCTATTTGTTACTTTTGAAAATTCGACGTAGTGGAAAGTCGATTTATATATGTAATGGTGATGGTAATGAAATAATTAAATAAAATCAGTTTAATCTTACTATTGCAATACTTTCTTTCTGTTTTCCATAATAAAAAGTATGCTTTAGGTCTCTGCGTATAGAATTATTAGCATTTCAAAGAAGTGTGGAAAGAATGGCATACTTAGGTGAAATGGTAAAAAGAAAAGGAAAAGCAAAAACAGATATTCTTCGATATGCTTCGATAATTGAAAGATATGTAGAAATGATCGAAATTTAAAATACATTATTTTCTCGACTAATTGTTTAGGTTAAGGACAAAGGGTGTGAGTATGAAATTTTATTTAGTGAGGTAGCAATGTTTTGTTGTTGCGGTGAAGTGATGTGATGTGATATGATTCTAATTTTGCTCTAATACTATATAGTATTAACTCTCTTCTATAGATAATATACTGGCTGTAATAGGATTATATATATTATATTTTATTGCTTTATTTGTATATCCTGGGTGGAGAAAGGGAAATACCTATATAAGAAAGTTAGGGGAGATAGACTTAGACGAACATCGTCTCTGGAGTCTCACAAAAAAAACCATTTTGAATTATATTAACACTATTTTAGAGAAAAGAACAAGAAAAGTAGAAGAAAGAATTACCATTTATGATAGAGAAATTTTGATATAAGAAAAGAAAGAAAATGAAGTATAAATACATCGTTTTGTCTCCATAGGTCGTCACTTGTAATTGTTTATTTATCTATAGATGGAGAGCATTTATTTGCACATGCAAATATCCTCATTTAGTGGACAGGATTGAAACGAATGACATCACGCGTATTCAGAAGGTTGTTTATTTGTATTCAAGTGTAACAAAGAACATGATCAAGTAGAGTTGGATGACACCCCGTCAGAAGTCGTCGAATACGATTTGATGTCCTTCCTTTACCTACAATTTTGCGTTTTTCTTTTACAAGAGCTGGATTTAGATAATACTCTTTCAAGTATAATAAATATAGTTTCTGTTCAATAAAGTCAGCAATAACCGAGGGATTGCTTCGTATAATTGTAGATAACAATTTTGTGAAATGCAGCTGAGTGAGTAATTCAATTGATTTATATATAGGCAAGTTAATTATTTCATCATTAGTAGCATCATACCATTTATTGATGATGCGAAAAATTTTACGGTTTAATGCTTCCAATTGTTGTTTTTTTGTACTAGATAATATCGGATAAATATCGAGTATAGACTGATAGTAAGGACGGATATAAGCATAATATAACTTGTGCGAAGTTTCTGTAGATAACATTCGAGTAGACGATAAACGTTTAAACACCATCAGATTTTTTTTGAATTTTTAACTTGATGTATTGAAGATGAAAGTTAAACGATAATTTTGCATCGAGTGTAATGCCTAGATATTTAAACTTAGGAACTTGTTCTATGATATTATTTTCACAATGGATTGTAGGAATAGTTGGTGAAATCTGTCGATGAAATAACGTCCAGAAAGTCTTTTTAAAATTTAAAGGTTGTTTCCAGGTAATTGAATAAGAATATAGATCTTTAATGACATTATTAATTTGTTGAGAGAGATATGGAATGAGAACTTTTGAGGACCAAGTAGCTGAAGGTGAAAGAACGACGGCTAAATCGTCCGCAAATAAGTGTTTAAAATGAAGATTTGATACTGAGTTTAGTAAATCATAATGAAAAACAATGAACAACACTGGTCCCACACATGAGCCTTGAGGTACACCTTTGAATAATGGGAAATAGCTAGATTTAATTCCTTTTATTTCTATAAACGCTGTTCGACCAGTCAGGTAATTTCTTAACCAAGCGATGATATAAAGAGGACAGTTTAGTCGTTTTAACTTCAGCCATAATCCTTTGTACCAAAGCTGATTAAAGGCGCTTTTAAAGTCAACAAATAAGGCCGCTGTAGCAGTATTAAGGGCTAGTCCTTGTCCAATTTGATCAATGATTGATACGATTCTCGTAGACATGTTGTGCCCTTGACGAAATACAGTCTGTTCCTCTGGTAAGATTCCAGCATCAGTAATCCATTGATGAAAATGCCTAAGAAATATTTTTTCATACAATTTAGAAAAGCATGGAAGTAATGAAATCGGTCGAGTATCGTTGATGTCCACAATTGAAAATTTCGTTTTAGATAATAAGATAATCTTTGCTGTAAGCCAGTGTTGAGGGAAATATACATGTTGAGCCATATGATTAAAAGAAGAAGTGATAAATTTAAGATGAGAAGGAGGTAAAAGTTTTATGATTTTATTTGAAACACCATCAAGTCCTGTAGAATTTTTGTTCTTTAAAGATGAAATGTATTTCTTTACATCGAGGAATTTAATATGAAAACTAACTAATTTTGCATTTAGTAATTCTGTGACTAATTCATGATCCACGACATTAGCTTCGACCTCTATGTCCGATTGATTGTTATCATGATCAGCAAATTGTTCCATATAGAAACATTTAGCTGTATCGCACATTTCCATCGACGAAGTAATGATTCCATTATTTTGTATAAAACCAAGAATTGGTGGTGTACATGATGAAAAATGACGACGAGATTTTCTCCAAAATTGTTTAACATCACAGGTGTTAAGAGTTTTACAATACTCACTCCACATTCTTCTCTTGTGTGCAAACATTTCTTTTTTTATATATTGTGAATATAATTTTAGTTGTAAAATATGGTATGGATGTTTTGTTTTCCTAACTAGATGTAAACATTGACGTTTTTGTTGTATCAGATCAATAATTGGAGGTGGTATTGAGGGCTTGTAAGTGTTGCAATATGACACATAAGTTAATCGTGATGAAGATAAAGATAAAAAGCGTTCATAAAGACAAAAGAAATCCATTTTATCAGTCATAAGTGTATATAAATTATCCCAATACGCCGAAGTAAATGTAATAAATAATTCAAACAGAGACCAATAAGTACGTTTAACTGGAAAAAAACGATCTTTCGATGGAACTGTTTGTGGAGAAGACCAGACGATAGGGTAGTGATCGCTTCCAACAGTGGGAAGAACAGAAAAAGAATCAGAACATATGCTTGTAGGTGCTAATATGAGATCAATCACCGCTTTTGATCTTGTTGAAGTGGGAATAAATTTGTTGATCACTTGTAAATGATTCTCGTTTAACCATTCAAATAATACACGTCCTTTATGATTATCTGTTGTATTTGACCACGAAGTATGTTTTGCATTTAAATCTCCAAGTATAATAGTGTTAGAATTTCGACGTAAGATATCATTAAATACATTAAGTGGTAAACTTTCATTTGGTGGAGAATAACAGGTTACTAATTGACACTTATTAGATGAGCTACCTATGTCAAGCACAATCATATTTAATTCATTTTGATATTTAATAACTCGTTGTGTTGGAATGGAACGGTGAGTGGCAATCAGAACACCACCAAAAGCATTTGTACCTTTCTGGAAGAAAACTTGGAAATTTGTTAAGTGCATTGAGAAATATTTTAATGCATCGTCATCATTTCTGGTGCCATTTAATATAATAACAGACACATCTAGTGAGTTAACTAATTGAAATAGATCATAAAGATACAATTTAAGGCTACATATATTTAATAATAAAAAAAGGATAATTCATTTTTTACATTAAGCATGTCCGAAGTTTTTTGTCGTCGTTCTTCCCATTTCATCAATACATTATTTAATGTTGATGAAGTGGTCCATTCTGCAATAAGGTCCTGTAAGATTTTGTTTTGTTTTTTGGATAGGTTTGTCATTGGGATCATTTGAAGGTCTTTTTGAGTAGGAATAAATGTGTTGGCGTTAGGATTCATACATTGTTTGATTAGGATCACTATTGGCTATTGAACGTTCGTGAGACTTTTTTTCTTCACCAGATACATTTTCCACATTAGTAGGTGAGCTATTTTTTAAAATAAAATCTGTTAATTTATTATACAAAGGTGATATAGTTTGTTTATTTGATCCTTTTGCTTTTAAATAAATTTGACTAGAGATTTCCTTGAGAAGTGGGCATAAAATTTCATTTATGCAACATTTAATGTTACTAATTTCGTTGTTGTAATGATTGAGTTTCATATCGAATGTATTAAACCTTCCATTCAGTTCGTCTTGTTGTTGCTTGATATGTAACATCGTGTCATGAATTTTATTAAGTATATTGTTCATGTCTATTTGATTGTTGTTGTTGCTGTAGTCGTTGTTCAAATATGTTGCTGATGCATTGGTGGTTGTTGGTGTTTTGTTGCAAAAGAGATGTTCTTTCGTGTTGGTAGACCAAGCTTGCCTAGGATGTTGATTTAAGGAAGTCGTTGCATCATTGGACAACTTCATACGCTGATTCTTTTCTTGTCGTTTAACTGATTTGACCGGACAGCTGGGGTTTCCTGCCATATGATCACCTGCACAATGGACACATTGGATACTATTTTCACAATTAGGATTATAAGGATGGTGTTGTGCACATCTAAAGCAAATAGGATCATTTTTATTTGGACAATGAGCAGCGATATGATCATCATATGCTTGACAAATATAACAACGTAATACTCGTGTTGGTGGTAAATATGGTTCAACTGTATATGCAGTGTTTTCATCATCTAATAGAATACGTTTTGATTTTAGTATCGATGATAATTCCTTGTACGATGAAAAATCAATTCGGACTTTGGATAAAGGACGTCCGCCTTTTATAAATAGGCGTACTGCACGTACAATTGATGGATAATACTGCTTTAATTCGATACCAAATGCTTCAGCACTCCATTGCGAGGGCACATTTTGAACAACAATTGAATAAGATGATGGTATTTTACTTGGTAAATCTAATTTATAATCACTGTTGCAAATCTTATTAGGCCAGTTGGATTGACACATAAGATATTCAAATTGTGCTGTTGTGCTTGTATAAAGTAAATAGCACATTTGATTGTTCGCTGTTTTTGCATATCGACCATAGGTTAAGTTCAGTTTACAATATTTATTTATCTCTTTAATCACTATTAATTCTGTTGTAGGATATTTGTTTGGATCTTCTAGTATAATTCGAAATGGTGGAAATGATTGTCTTGAGGATTCGTGACGAGAACGAATTGATGAACCATTGCAATTTTTTTTCGTTTGATGATATGTATTGAAATACGAAGATGTTGTTGTTGATGATGATGTTTTAGCAGTTTCTTGTTGGCTTTTATGTAGGTTAGTTGAATATTGATCCGTTGTGACATCTGGATCAGTAATTTCCATTCGATTACGTTTCGGTGTATGACTTGATGACTCACCTTCACTTGGATGTTGAACCGTTCGTTTTTTGTTGTTGTATAAACAAGCAGTCTGCTCATTTATACTACTATGGATCATAACCGTTGGATCTAAACATTTAGCACCATTTGCTTCAATGTTACTCATCTAAGCTAGTACTAAATAAACCTCGTGCAGCTACCCGCTCACGTATGTACAACACGTGTACACTTATGAAGATATATAACGATCAGAGAGAAGAGAAGAGACCGTGACCGATTTCTATCGTGTAAAAAAGATGAATGGCTGTAATAGGATTACGCAGATAGTAGTATTGTAAAATAGTATCGTTTAATATAATTAAATTAATAGGCAAGTTGTTGTAGAAGTATGTTCAATTTTGTGTGGAAAATATTTTTGGTTTGAGCATGTTCTCAATTGACTAAAATTTTGATTTGGAATTTGATTTACAGTATCCATTGAAACATTAATATACGTAGTTCCGATCAGCTACACGTCAATCTGATATAATTTGTATTAAGATATGGTTGTGATTAATACTTCAAGTCATATTCTATTCAATTATATGTAAAATATGATGAAGATCAAATTCACCTTTTTATTTGAATTCATGTACGACTATTCATAGATGGTCATGGATGTAGGTAGATGTGTTTGTAAGTTTACGTATCATTTCTTTTTGTCACAAGCTTAGATTCACTCGGAAACCAATAAATATAAATACGTCATACTACACAGTCAAGCAAAAATTCTCCTTCTCTCTTCAAATAAACAAACAACTCGGAAGATGAAGATCGTATGTCAACAAACAAAGTCCCGATGAAAACTTATATAAGCTGTTTTCTATCACAGTATTCTCATCAATAACAGTTCAGGAGTCTCTGTCAACTGCATATCACCAGATATCTCTACAACTTTTTTTCTCCATTTTATTCAAAATTTTGTCATTTCCTTGACCTATCTTGATAAATTTTCCATCGGTCTTTTATGAGAGAATATTTTCCAAGTAAATTATGTGTTGATCATTAGTTTTGCCAATTCAAATATTCATAACGTGAAAGATTGTCAATGGTAATATAAGAACGTCACGTTCATCTTCGAAATCAGATATTCCAGGTAAGTTATTAGACGAGGAAAACCGTTGAATTACTGTGCCACATTGTTCTCGAAAGTGAAACACCATTAAAACACCGATTTTGCCTGAAGATGACCTATCAATAAAGTGAAGAGCCACATTATCATTGATGGATGTTGAACACAAGATATCTATCGTTTATTTTTATATTTCAAGACAAGTTCACATGCTTTCTGATACTCCGAATGGAATGAAGTGATGTGATCATCGATAAGACACTTTAGCTCCCTTACAGCTGTAACTTTATCGTATGTAGAACCTGTATAATCATTGTTACAAATCCCTTGCTTCAGTAATGGCTGCAGAATCGATGATGGTGCCATATACTTTTTGTAATATGCATGCTCGTCTCCACGATGCGAGTACTTATTTGGTTACGGTCTTTATAAACCCAGCCATTGGGTATCTGGTCATGGCTCTCTCTTCATCTTCTGCTTGCTGATCGATGGAAGCACTAAAGAAATGTGACGCATCATCTATTGTATCACTACTGAACCGTTGTGAGTTTAATGAACGATGAAAGAGTTGACGAATTTCATCTGTAGATGCTACTTCGTATGCGGTAAGGTCATCACTATTTCGTTAGTGTCGAATAACGCTATATCGAAGACAGAGTTGTACAGCATCGACATGAACAAAGAATGTGGCTGTATGCAAAGATGTACTTCCATTTGGGTCTGGACAATTGATATCAGCATAGTTAGTGGATGAAAGAATGTTTCGAACCAAATTAAGATTGCCTGTTTGACATGCTCGATAGATATTACTAACTTCACTGTATTAATATAATCCAAGTGCAAGAGTCGTTTTGATGAGACAAGGCACCAGGCCATGAAAGGGGAACACTTCCAAAGCATTCTGCTCACGACTGAATCGACTAGTCGCTCAGCTACTCGGTTTCAGTTCATTGAGGAGGTGATAGATCACAACAGTGTAACACCAGCACTTGCAATTTTAGATGTTGATGTCACCTGTAAGTTAACGAAGATCGATAGAGTTGCGTTGTAGATGTTTGCATATGAAACGAGTGGAGAAAATGAACAAAATATTGAATCATAGAGTGAGTCGGGACGATACAGCGCATTACGTACGAATGTTATAAGGAAAATGCGTTGGGACTACGCACAGTCGGCTGGGACACAAGCCGCCCTTTATTATGTGCACTGCTCTTCAGTAATACTACTGTTCGCATCAGCAATATTACTGTTCCTACATCATCTCCATTAATTCGACATCTCGAACATAATCATCATCGTCGTCGTTTCATTTCGTGTTGTTCAAAAGAAAAGGCGATGTAAATATAATGTTGGTAAACCAAGATGAAGATGGTTGACTTTGACCACAGATGAGTAACAGGATCGATATCCAGACTTGCCAGTTGTGACGGTTTTAGATACAAGATATACTTGCGCTGATGGAACTACGGTTTATTGAGCTTCTTCATATCACACATCACATCGTTTACATCCACAACACGCGTTTGTATACGCAGCCAAGAGGACTGGTGTCACATATCCAACATTTTGGAGATGCGATCATTCACCACTGGAGATGTAAGATCTCCTTTAGAGATGCGCATCCCCCACACCCACACCCACATCTCTCGCGCGAGATGCGGCATCTCCCGTGGAAGATGTGGTGGCATCTCCAAAATGTTGGATATGTGACACTGCTGGCCAAGAGAGAGAAAGAGAGAGAGAGACGGAAAAGATACAACACGAGAAAATATAGACAACAAAAGAAAGATGAGAATAACAGAAAAGATAATCGTGGAGGATGTTATGTGTTTCGGTCCACGGAATAAGCAACAAGCTAATCTTATTTATAAAAGCATGAACGACAGGATATATATTAAAAAGGAAAAGCCAAAAGATAAAGAGTGATGTATGAACACTCTCATCATAGAACGTCATACAGAGTACATCTAACATTTAAAAAATTTATGTTCTAGGGTGATCATGCTTTGATCAGTACACGACGATGCATCAAGTTTTCTGCGTATGTAGCTCCTCGAGGACACTGTTCGTCACAATTTCGACTCTCAATTGCCTAACCTGATGGAGTCGTATATACAACGACGCGTTACTTTTCACAAGGCATCAACTTACATATCGTCATAATGTACGTATATACTGATTTTCCTTTACATGTCATTATTAAGATGGAAGGCAAAGCTGATGAAGATCGAACCGGATTGCATGGATGCAAATTTGCTGTTGCTCGATTGCAACTAGTTCATTTGAAGAACGAGGTCAAGATAAACGAATCATCTTCAGTATACATTGAACGTAAACAAGAACTAATCGAAGACATATCTAATTCAAATGAAGAACCGAAACATATAAAACATTTATCCTTGATGAAGCGTTTAAAAAATAAACTACAATCGTGACCATTTTCAAACTAATTATTTCTAGAACTCAAATATCGATTCTTCTAGCTTAAAATTCTCTTGAAAGCTTTACGCTGTAATAAACCTAGATTTATCTTCACATTAAGTGACAGAAAATTGATAAAAGAAAATTATGAACAGAAAAATTAATTTAAAAATTCATCAAATTAATGGAGATATTTATTATAGCACTTACTCTAGCATCAGAAGACCTAAGATAGATAGGAAAATTCATAGAAATTCTTCTCGCAATATTTGATTGAAAGCGAATGAAATTGGCGTATTTTTATCTGTAGTACATAACTATTTGTTGTGTGTGTGTTGCATTCCAAAACAAATTTTAAATAGTTTACATTTTGTACATGTGAGATGAATCTCATAATTCGTTGGTGTACCACTCAGTTCAACTGAATGCCTCAATCGGACCTGCATCTTCTAGAACGAGCTATTGAATTGACTATTGCACGTATTTCGGAGAGTATTTTAGTCTACTCTGTAACGTGAGAATGACCATATGACCGATGATGAAACTAACACCCAGCCTAAGATATACCTAAATCCTCAAGAATCATGTGGTTTCATTCAATCAAACATATGTATTACATTCAATTGAGTTGTTCGTGTTATTTATAAGTAGTAGAATCAGAGAAACACACCCACACCCACATAATATGTATATGTAAACAAAATAAGTGAAATTATACTTTTGTCATACAGTAACTGTGCTAATATATCAACAACTTTGAAAGCCAAAATGATCAATGAGTCTGAAATAAATGAACAAATCATAGTCTTAAACAAAGAAAAAATGTCGAAGACACTCAAACTGTGCCGATGGAAGATGATGGGTGGAGAATTTTTGAACTTGTTACACATCAGCGAAATAAATTCCAACGAGAAAATAAGAACAAATACTATCAAGAACAAAAGAGTGTCATATGCATGAATAATGATATGAACAATTACCTACAACAAAAGCAAGAACTAAAACACACGCTCTTCAATGGAGAAATGAAAACGATGAAGCTTCAGTTAAGAAACAGAAAAAAAGAAAGTTGTTGAACAGGCTGCTCAACAAGGTTAACCTAATGAACCAAGAACCATCATTTCCAACCATACTCTTCCTTATGCTGTTGACCAACATCTGCCACCCATAAATATGAAATGTGAACTAGAGGGTGTGGGTGTGATTGTCTATGGTAATGCTTTAAACATTCACACCCACATTAATGAAGGAACATTTCTGGCAAAAAAATTCTATTACAATTACATTCGATGATATTCAACCCACATGAGAATAGTAAAACTTATTTATTGGGTTAATTTACCTAAAATATATAACTAATTAACACTGTTTTAATCATAAGAACAGTTCAATTAAACATTTATTTTTATATAAGATTCAAAATATCAACCATTTTATTATAAACTAATTGTAGTACGGTTTGATTTTCAGATGAAATGATCAATCAAGTTTCCGCTTATGTACTTAAGTTAGTGACTCACTGTAAATTTGTAAAAAATGGTTGCAAAGAAAAAAAAATAAGAATAGAAAACGTAAAAAAGGACACAAACAAGCAAGCAAATAAAACAAAAAAAAGACGATCATGCTGCCATCGACATCATCACAATTATAGGCTTCACGCTGTTAATAGTCGTACAGAAAGATACACAAACACATCGAACGATTGCTTATAAGAATTCTTTGTGGAATTTCTTTTCTTTTTTTTTTCTCACTGTATTTGAAAAAAAGAAGTAATCGACAATGAAATACGTACCACGAAGGATTAAAGACAAATATGAAATCCTTGGTATTATCGGGGAAGGTAGATTTGAAAAGAGTTTTTTTAATCTTTTAATGTTCTAGTTCTTTTCCAATAAGGTGCATACGGTGTTGTTCTTAAAGCTCGAAAAAAAGTATGTTCTCGTAATCAAGACAAAAAATAGAACCGATATTCTTTTTCTAATTTAGGATGAAAATACTCTTGTTGCTATAAAATATTTTAAACAAACTCCTGGTTTGACATTTACTTAGTTGATATTCTATAGAAATTCAGCAACGTTTTATTTAAAGGATATCAAACTGATACAGATGTGATTGATCGCGAATTGACAATTCTTCGGTCACTACGATTTGAAAATGTGGTTGAACTCATTGAATGGTTCCGTGATAAGAAACGATGTTGTCTTGTATTCGAATATGTCGAATGGGTTAGTTGAACGTTGTATTTCTTACTCTGAACATTTTTTTTTCTTCTTCAGAATATGTTACAAGTTTTACAACAACATCCTGAAGGTCTACCATTAGAACAAGTACGTCGATTGTCATATCAATTATTTAGTGCTATCAATTGGTGTCATATACATGAAATAATTCATCGTGATATTAAACCAGAAAATTTACTTATATCAAAAAATTTAATTTTAAAATTATGTGATTTTGGATTTGCACGATTTTGCAATGCAAAAACATTGACTGATCATTATACTGATTACGTAAGAGATTGATTTTGAAATTTTCTATTTCGTTTTTATTCTATTGTAATTTAAGGTTGCAACACGATGGTATCGATCTCCAGAATTACTAATCGGGTAAAAGATGAAACTCTAATAAGAAAAAAGAAAAGAAAGACTCTTGCAAACACGAATTATTTTTATAATGTCGAAAACGAAGAGGTATTCAATACGAATTGATCATTGACAATGTTACAGTTTTGAAATTATTCTTTGTCCTTTTTAATAAGAGTGACATATGTCACGAATGAAGCCTTCCAACTGATAGATCACTTTTGTATTGTGATTATTTGTATTATGTGGACCCTAATTGCCTATGAGTACGCAGAAAAGAGTGTATGCCTCTAGCTTATTGATTCAGGGTCACTGCGCTTTTGAGGTGTTCTTTAAATGAATACTGAGGTCTCCCTTACAAACACTAGAAAAAAAACTGTTGACACACGAATAGAGCATTCTATCACGAGAGCAATCCGTCGTTTGGAGTATGAACTCATTTTTTGGTATTCATAGCTCATTAGTGTTTATAGGGTGCATATAACTTCCGTATATCCATTGAAAGGCTTTCTTCATTAGTTTCTTCTTCGAGAATCTCGATATCATCAAGACTTTTACAAGTGAAAAATATGCTTTTTTATTCGATGAAACATACTAATGATTACTTGTTTCGAATGTGTTTCAAACAAAGAAAAATTCAAGGTTGATTGAATAACAAAATAAATGTGGAAAATTCGGATTTCATCCGAGAGTTATGTGTACTGCAAAAAGTGCATGGGACATATGAGTCATTCTAGAATGTCTGAACACCAAAATCGTCATGAGAAGCTAGGCAATTTGATTTCTGGACGCAGTTTTTGTGCGTTTTGAGACGTTTTTCAGGCGATTTTTCATTAGAAAGCTACAATTTAGTTCAAAACTAATATCAGATTCGGAATTAGCGTTAAAAACTGAGTCGATTTATATATGTTGTAAATAATTCCGAGAAAAATTTGTTTTTTGAAAAAAAATCCCTGTACTCCTGCTCAGGGATGGCCTGGTCAAAACTGACAATTTTTTCGATAACTCAACCATTTCTTGAAGGATCTTTCTCATCTTCAAACTCGACTGAGACATTGATGAGGTTGAACTGTGTAGAAAATTTCATCATGATCTAACTCTCCTTTCGAAAGTTATCGTGTAAACAGACGGCCGGCCGGACACACTGACCGATTCTAGAGTGCACTCACTTTTTGAGTACACAAAAAAGAAGACATTGTAAAATAATCAATTAGTTATTGTATTTTCAGTTCACCATATGGTAAATCAGCAGATGTATGGGCGTGTGGATGTATGCTATACTTTTTTTAATTTTTTCCAAAAAACCAACTAGTTTTATTTTTGATTTTTTAAGGTATCATGGCAGAACTGAAAACTGGTCAAGCATTATTCGGTAGACATACTTTATTTTTTGTTTCTTCTATTTTCATTCATATGAAATATATTGAAAGCGGGTGAAAATGATATCGATCAATTATATCGTATTCAACAATGCTTAGGATCATTACCAGTGAAATATATATTTACTATGAACACAAATCCAAAATTTCAAGGCTTGAGAGTATTTCTCTTTTTAATTTTCATTCTTAATTTTGCAAAAACAGTGTTAATTATTTTTAATTTTAGTTTCCTCCTATTCATCATTTAGTAACATTAGAAGAACGCTTTGCTCATATATTTCCATCGGAAATGTTGCATTTATTCAAAGTAAAAATATAGTATTCATGTAAAATAATATTGATTTCACATCGTTCTTCTTTATAAGAATACTTTACGTTTGTATGCTGGTGATCGATTAACCGCAGAGAAATGCATTCAACATGAAGCTTTTACATATCTATATCAAACATCTTCGAAACGACAATCTTATCAATCGTATATAAATGAAAATAAATGTGTCGCACAAAATTAAAATTTAGACAAAACAAAATACAGATTTAAAACCATTGAGTTATACTAAATTTTAATTGAAGCTCAGTAGTCGAAATGTATCTTGGTTGATAAAAACAAAGGATTCGAAAGTCTATATTTATTTGCTTTGAGTTTCTATCTAGTGAATAGAGAATATTGCAGGTACCAACATATAGTATTCAAGATAGTTTTGACCTACATTTTAATTTTGCATGTGACATATACATATAGTTACATCTTCATTTACTTTAATAATTAATCTATTTAGAAAAAATACTCATGTTCCAGTTACTGCATCTCAATATAATATTGATTATAATAATACAATGCCTGTGTTGGCATCATCATTCATTGACAATCATTTAAATAAATCGTAAATTTAAAACGATGAATAAACTTGTCATTCAATATTCTTTGTTTTTTCTACAGGCATAATGACAATAGTGAAACGCATAGCCGACATCAATCTTCACCATTAAATACCACTAATTGGAATATTGATAGTTTAACTGATTTTTCACCGCTGGCGTCATCTTCTATTAATCAGCCAATAAAATATCCCAATACTAATGCACAATTAACTGATCGATCATCAGCATCACATCGTCATCAACCAAAAATAATACGAGCTCATTCAAGACCATGTTCGTCATCAAGCGATGATGCTTTAATGTTTAGTCCAAGAAGTTCAAATATTCAAAGTAACATGGATGATGATCCATATAATATTCTATTACGAAGAACATATCCTAAAAATCATCCAACACTACAAGCTACACCTTCGAATTCAAATTATGCTTCAAATGGAATTCTACTAAGACCTAAACAACAGCATCCAACAAATATTTTAGAAACATCATCGAAAGATACAGATAAAAAAATCAAACGATTTAGTTTAGATCAACATCAACCAGTCTCCAATTTTCAAAAGCAAATATCAGAATCTAATATCTATCGTTCATCAATGGCTTTTACACCTAGTCAAAAGGCGAATGTATATTCTTTTCAAACGAATAATAACAAAACTACATCATCATATCAGCGAACGCGAGATGAGCCTAACCATGAATTACAAGAACAGCGAAATACAGTTTGGATATTTATTAGAATGAATTTTAAGAAAAAAAGAAACTCTTCTTTTTAGCCTCGTGAAACTAAGCGCGGTTTTTTTCGTAGTCGAACATCTGATTGCCATTCGTCTGTAGATACAACACTACTGCCACAACGTACATTTACAAGACAAAGTGTAATAATTGAAATGTATATTGATCTTATGATATAAACATATTGTGTGGTTTTCTAGCAACATCAAATAGTATCGAATTCAATCAATTGTACTGATAATAATTCAACAGGTTAGTAATCGATTAATAGCGCTCTATATACATGAATTCACTCACATATGGATACAATTAGTTCCAACAACATGTAAAACTAGCCGTAATTTTGAACAACAATTAAGTCCTAGACATCCATGGTAAGTCGAAAATATTCTATCATAGAGGTCAAATGGTTAATGGAAATACAATTTCAATAAGAAAAAACGGAAATCATTTTATTTGTTCTTTATAGGGATGTCGAACAACGAAGGCCTGTGTATGGAAGTGACAGTTTTTTAATGAATTCGAATCAATATAATTCATCTGCTAATCGACCATTTGCTATACAGTATTCGTCTGCTACGAATGATTCTACGCCTAGAAATAAAATTATCATAGTTTCTGAACGAGTAAATATCCTATTGACTACTATCATTCAATCAAATTTCTCTATTTCAACAAAAAAAAAACAACTAACAGGATGAAATTCAAGATCCAATCAAATCCGCTAGATTATCATCAAAACAAATCGTAGTTCCTCATCCGAAAACACCCATCGATTCAAATCGAGTAAATAAACAAGAATCATATTGACTTTATTCTCTTTGAATATGATTCATATTCTATTTAGAGACAAGAATCGAATAGCAACTTACTCGATGTTTATTCATCTGCTCGAACAATTCAATCACACGCTGCCAATACTATAATACCATCATCGCATCAACCACAACAATCAGTTCGACTGATAAATATGAAATCTCGCCATCATGATAATTCAAAATGAATTATAAAATGATTAGTTCGTAGTGTATATTTTATTTAAGACTATCTGTAGTTCTTAATCATTTTTCTTGTACATATTTCAAAGTTTGAATAGAGAAAAAAATAGAATTGCATTCAATTTCATCGTATCAAATAGGCAAAAGCAATCGAAGAATAAAAATTGTCTTTTATAAGAAAGAGTCCGGTAAAAATTTCATAGTAATTTAGATATTCACATCAGGATTTCATTGGTACAATGCCTCTGCATTATTGAATTATTTGAAAGTCTCGTAGATAGAGAACATATTAAGAGAAAATATCCTGTTGTTTTTCAATCAGGAAACAAGGAAAAACATATGAGTCAGCATTTCTTGACAGATTATAGCACGAATATAAACAAATATATTTTATTTTTTTATTTGATTAAACTTAAAAGTAAATTTCGATAAGCTTTTGTTTCATTAGAAATATTATGATATTTTTTAACATATTTTTCTGCTTGTTGTATTAATTCATGTCTTAATTCGTTGCTACTATCAAGTTCAACAAGACATTGAGCAGCTTCATCGGGTGTATCAAAAATGAAGCCCGTCTTTCGATGTTTAATAATACTTGTATTGCCTGTATTGCGACGAGCCAGAACAGGTATACCAAGTGTCATTGCTTCAAGCATAGCTAGACACATTCCTTCATTAATTGATGTATTAATATAAGCAAACGATGTTCTCATTAATGTATGAACAAAACTTTGAGATTGACCACCAATAAATGTAACATTTAAATGAGAATATGTAGAACGTAGTTGTTCACCTAATGCTTTATCATTCTCATAGCCAACAAGAAAAAGCCGGTATTCATTATTATTTAAACATGATAAAAACTCCATAGCAAATATTGGATCTTTCACCGGACGAATTTCACCTGTCCAAATAATTGCTTTCTTGTCCATTGTTATTGGCAATTGTTCAAAAATGAATGGTGATAAAAGAACACTTTGCGGTATAACTGTTATTTTAGATGTCAGATAATTTTTATATTCGGTTTCAACATATTTTTTCCATTCGTAACTGAAACACACAAGACTACTTGCTCGTGGAATAATATATTCGAGTGTTGATATCCATTTTGGTTCACATGAATGTAAATCAGTACCAGCAAAAATAAGTATCAATGGTGGAAGATCAATTTGTTCATCGTTGTATATCGATGTTAGAATATTTCCAGCCCGATAAACATGTAAAGCAAGCACGGCTGAGTATCGACGAATAGATGTTGCTAATGAACCAGATTCCGTATCTGGTGTATCAACAGACACACAGTCAACAGTAAATTTTGTTGATGTTTGTATTTCATAAGCTATGCGTGACGCTGTAGCTGCATTGCCACAACCTTGGCGTAACGATGCAAGAAGAAGAATACGTTTCGTATTATCAGACGATGCTGACAAGAGCGTCTTTCTTCTTCGTAACAAACCCATGAATGAATATTTTGATAACATTTGAATGCTCATATATTATACGTCACATATGTTAACACCCACGTATTGTCATACTTGAGAAAATAATAAAATATTTTTGAATAAAATAAAGGCGGGGCATCAGATGTAATATTTACATTTATGCGCATCACAATAAATGAAAAGAATAAATATATATTTACCTAAGTGATCTTATCTGAAAACATTTTCCACTTTCAAAACCGAGCGACGGAATATGTTTAGCGTGTCAATTTTTTTCCGGCGTAGGTGTTTTCTTAAGGCAGCGATTGAAAAGAGGCTATTTCTTAATCCAATTAACCTATTTTTACAAGGTGACAACTGCTAACAAAGAGATATTATGACTAGTTTTATGTACTCACAATACACATGTTTGTTTGATTTATAATACTGTCACGTATATTCTATATTCTTGTTGTTTGAAGTAAATATTTGCTGTTGTGCTATAGCTGTCGTTTGCCAACAGTGATTTGATGGATTGTTTAGAAAAAACTGAACGTTCATTAGTAATAGTGAATTATACTTACGGACAGTATAAGCATAGTTATGTTGATTTTAGCATTTGACAAAACTCAGATTTGTTATGTTTTTGCAGAAATTCTTGCTCATCTATTTACAAGACAGAAATGTGAAATTTCATTTCATGAATCCACTTTTAAAAGCTATTTGTAGCATAAATCCATCATGTACTCTATCGTGTACTCAAGCAAGCGTTCAAAAAAGAATTTGCATCAGGAAAAATCATTAAGTAAGCCACCTGTTAGTCTGAAGTTGAGATAACAAAAAAAGGCCTCCAATGACATTAGATTTCAGTGATACATGATCAACGATTCTTTAACATTAATATCACATTCTAATGTATGAACTATGTCTCTATTGCATTTTCGTATTTTCGAAAAACCTTTGGAAAGTCTATTACTTGATGCTAAAATAATTCCTCGTACCCATTTTCATGGAGATGACTCACGCTCAGCTATTAAAAAGAATACAACCTTTTTTATGTCTTTCACTACGAAGTTACCATTAGTGCTGTCTATTTGCAGATGTACTTCAAATTTCTTTTCTTTTCGTTAAAGAAATGAAACCGTTGCAATGTTGTTCATAAAACAGCAAGTAAGAGTAATAAGCTTTTATTCTTAAAAATTTGATCTTACAAATAATAAATAGAAAAGATTTAATATAAATAATTAATTTTAATCTATTACGATTTAATGCAATGATTGTTAGCATGTCACGGGATTTTTCTGGAGAAAATTCATAGAATTTATCAATCATGTTTTCAACGTAACTCGTTTCTTAGCAATGGTTGTCGATCAAATAGATTCTGTATTTCTTTTTTCTTTTACTTCAGTGACAGTCAGATTGGCATTGCTTTTGTTCTTGAACAATATGATGAAATAGTGAGAATGAGGGAAAGAAAGAAAAGGAATAAAAGAAACAGGAGAAGTGGTATACTTTGTTCTTAATTTTACTGCTTCATTTATATATTTATATTGTATCACGAAAGAACAGTAGAAGAAAAAAAAGAATTTCTTCTTTGTTTGTGTAAGTTTCATGAAATTCATTGTCGATTGACAACAGAGGAAAAAAGGAAATCAGCTGCGAAAAGTCCTTTTACTCCTGATTATTTTGTTCCAGTTGAACAAGAATTAAAATGCAAAAAGTTATTGAATGTGTACCCAATTTTTCGGAAGGTCAACGAAAAGAAGTAATTTCTATGATTATATTTTATTTTGATAAAGAAATTAGAATTCATTTTAAGGTTATTGACACAATAGCACATGCTATTGCTGGCGTTGAAGGTGTTGCTCTACTGGATATCGATCCAGGTTTATCAACAAATCGAACGATTTACAGTAAAATAAAAACATCAAATATATTTTTTCAGTACATCCATTCGAATGTTTTCTTTCTCAAATAGCATTTGTTGGACATCCACAAGGAGTGATTGAAGCAGCAATGGCTGCTGCTCGATCTGCCTACAATTTGATTGATATGGCAAGACACAGTGGTGAACATCCTCGAATTGGTGCTATGGTAGGTAATTGAGAGGTTGTTTAGCAGCTAAAAAAAAGACTTTACTTTTGTTTTAAGGACGTTGTACCATTTGTACCTGTTCAAAATGCAACCATGGCCGATTGTATTGATATAGCACGTGAATTTGCTGATCGTTTGGCTTTGGAATTAAATGTACCTGTTTATTTATATGGTGAAGCACAAGAAAAAGATTATCGACGAGAATTATCACAAATTCGTGATGGTGAATATGAAGCACTTTATAGCAAAGTAAGATATACAAATTTATGTTTAATGCTGAGGAGTTTAGTGAATATCTTCTTTTTGTTTGTTTTCTTGAAGATTCGAAAACATGAATGGGCACCTGATTATGGTAAAAATTTAAATATTAATCCGTTGTATTAGAGAAGAAAAACATCCTATTTTATTTTTTAGGCCCTAGTGAATTTGTTCCATCGTGGGGAGCAACTTGTGTTGGTGCTAGAAAATTTTTAATTGCTTACAATATAAATATAATTGGTACTAAAGAACAAGCACATCGCATTGCATTGAATGTTCGCGAACAAGGACGAAGCAAAGATGAAGTAAATACTAAAACTATAAAATTCATTTCTCTCTACGGGACTCGTTTTGTTTACCTAGCCTGGAAAATTGAAATGTATTCGTGGCCTTGGTTGGTGGTTTGAAGAAGGCAACTTAGCACAAATTTCTTTAAATTTAACTGATTTTGAAATAACAAATATTCATATTGCATATAATCAGTGTATCGCTGAAGCTGAAATGCTTAATGTAGGTGTTTGCGGTTCACAAATAGTTGGTCTTGTACCTTTGAAACCTCTTTTAATGGCTGCTGAATATTTTATGGAAAAAGAAAATTTATTTATTCTTGATGAAGATCAAAAAATTCGTTTAGTTATTCAACGTTTAGGTTTAAATTCTATTGCACCTTTCAATCCAAAAGAACGTATTATTGAATATATTATACGTGAACGTGAAGGTCAAGATGATAGTTTAGTTTCGATGGAATTAAAAGATTTAATTAAACATATCGGTGCAAGAACATTAGTACCTGGTGGAAGTTGTGTTACATCATTGGTAGCTACACTGGGTGCAGCACTGGGTACTATGTGTGCATTACTTACGTATGGAATGAGAAAAGTAAGAATCGGGCGAATTAAATATATACATAATTAAGATAGATATAATTAACTTTTTTTTTCTTAATTTATTAGTGGGAATCATTAGAAAAAGAAATACGAATTATTATTCCTTCATTGCATGCCGCAACAAAAACACTAATGAATACGTTAGATACTGATACCGAAGCTCTTAATGCTTACTTAACAGTACAAAAAATGGCAGAAAACAATGATGAAGAGAAACGTTTGTATGTTGAGAATTAAACGTTTGTTTTCGTGAAATTTATTCTATTTTTATCTTTAGTAAAAAGATCACAGAAAATCGTTGTTTACAACGATGTCTAGATGTTTCATTAGATATAGCTCGACAAATTAATGCTTTATGGGAACCACTACAACGATTAACACCATTATTTAATATTAGTACCAAAACAGATTTTTTAGTTAGTATAAAAATTAAAGTAAAATTTAAAAAAAAATAGAATTTTTCTTTTACTAACAATAGGTTGGTATTAAATGCCTTGAAACAGCTGTATACGGTGCATGTAAACGTATTGAAGTTTTCTCATCATCACTGTTAGACAGTAATGATGACAATGATTCCGAAGGAAAAGTACGTGTTAATTTATTTGTCACTTGCCTATTTGGATCAGATATTTATATTTAATTTAGATGATACAAACTAATTATAAAGATGAAGCCAATAAGTTACTTGAAACAGCTAGCAAAGAAGCACAAACTATTTTAGCGTTAGCTGAAGCAAGAAACTAATAGATGTGATTTTTATCTGGGGTACATTCTATGTGCTCACTAGTCTTCTTTTGTTTTATTTCTTAATTAATAAATGTTTCGAAATATAGATTGCTTAAAAGGATAGTAAAAACAATAGACGAGATAAACCAAAGGACAGGGGCGTATAAGATACCCTATCACTCCATTCCGCTTTTTTCAACTCAACCTAGTGAAATGACATATGAATTGAAAACTCTCGTTGAAACAAGCATTTTTATACCAAATCCTCCAAGAAAAAAATTCACTTAAAAAAAGATATAGACACAAACAAAAGTTGACTATTTGACTATTTCTCTTGGAAACAATCTTCCCTTTTCGACACAAATGTATCACAAAAGAATTCTTTTAATATCTACCATTCGATAGACATTTTTACGCGCTACAAAATAGGATGATTACGAAAGCCAAAAAGTATTGGCCACTTAAAGATAGCTTCGGCATACACTATTTTTAGTGTTGATTTTGTCGTTTTTTCCTACTCTCTATTGGATTAATGCCAGAAAGACTGTAGTTGCTGTAAACAATTGTGCTATATTCGGAATCAGCATCCAAACTTGATTGGGTTTAACTGGATTTCAAATCCTTTCAAGTAAGTAAATGTTAGCCTAAAACATTCCCTGCACTCCTCCTCAAGGCTGGGTGAAAATATTAATTTCATTAAAACACGATTTCAACCATAGTAATGAAGTTCTAACCCTATAAAATGACATTAGAACTCGAAATAGCACAACGTTAGAAGAAAACGAAGGGATTCTGGTGAAATTATTGTTTTCACCCAACCTTGAGGAGGAGTGCAGGGAATTTTTTCGACTAAAATTTAATTACTCAAAAAAAATTGAAATGCAGTGAAACCCACCGAGGTTTGGATGCTGATTTCGAATATAGCATAATTTTTTACGACAACTATAGTCTTTTAGGCTATAATCCAATAGAGAGTAGGAAAAAACGACAAAATCACCAGTCAAAAAGGTAAACATCGAAGCAACCTTTAAGTGGCCAATGTTTTTTGGCTTTCAAAATCGTCCCATTTTGTAGCGCGTAGAAATGTCTATCGAATGGTCAGTATGAAAACAGTTCTATGGTGATATATTTGTGCCGAAAATGGGAGATTCTTTTCATGAGACACAGTCAAACAGTCAACTTTTGCTAGTGTTCATAACTTTTTTGAAATGAATTTTTCGTGACGGATTTAGTATCAAAATGTTTGTCTCAACGGCAGCTTTCATTTCATATATAATTTGACTATGTTCAGTTGAAAAAGTCGAAATGGGCCGATAGGGTTTCTTATACGTCCCTGTCCTGTCCTGCAATTAGCAACAACAATTATATTGTGTTCGACAGTTTAATTTCACCCGATCACAATCAGTTACTTTTATTTTAAATTTTCAATAATAAAATTTCGTTTTATAGCTTTCCAAAATAATATTGATTGTACACACAATTATGACTAATAATAAATAATGAATATAGTTTTCATTGCCCATTTGTTAGCTATAAAATTAGTGTAATATGTTTGAAGCGAGTGCATCACTACTTAAGAAAGGTCACTTCAATTAAATTTTCCAGTTCAACTTAATCGATATTTGATAGATCACACGGTTATATTCTCTAATAAGTGAGTATTTAATTTTTCTAATTGAAATATAATAGAAATGGGAGACGACTGTGTCAAATTTTTATTCAAATCAGTAAATATCTCATTTTTATTTCTTTAATAAATTTTATGCTTTGCTTTTCAAACAGGTCGAACTCGTACAGTAAAATCAAATTGATTCAAAGTAGCTGATACGCCCTTAACACTAAAATAAAAATTTTCTGCAGTGGATGGTACATATGTTGTATAGATATTGCCACTTCCAGCAGCACGACTAGTCATGCTTTTTGATGTAGCTCCAGATGGTTTTTTATTTGTTGTGGATGTATACACTACAGTCTAAAACAAAACAAAACGAAAGAAGCAAAAGCAATATCGAAATGTATTTTTCATTCTATTTGCCAAGACTTACTTTTCCAGCTCGATCATTCAATTGAATTTCAAAGAAAGCGTTCTTTTTAGCTTTCTTTAACGTATGCATTTTAAAATATCGAGTTGAGTTTCCTGTCATTTCACTTTGTACCTTAATATCAGGTCCAACAAATGCTGGAAAGTCACACATTTTCATTGTAATAGCATTGGTAACACGAGCCAAATCAAGATAGGAATTAATATTCATGACGTAATCTTTATCACCAGCAATGCCAAGTAATTCAGCATCACCAACTGGACCAATATTGCCAATACCAACAGCAAATATTGTTCCTTCAATTGGACTTGAACGTAGAGCTTGAGCAGCGGGTATTGCTGGTCGACCTTCATTACTATGTCCATCAGTAAATACAGCAAAAACTCTTGGAACACCTTTCGAAATATCTCGACAACTCGATTGACAGTAGGCATCAGCTAAAGCAAGAGCATCGCCAGTGGCTGTATTTGTGCCTATACGCGGAAGATCAGCTATTTGTTGAAATAGATTTCCTCTTTCGAATTCATATACATTGGTTTGAGCACTAAGTGTTGGTGTCGATGCAAAATTAATAATGGCAACGCCAGCCTTCTCTGTAGCAACATTGAGACGACTTACAAGATCAAGCAATGCTTTTTTGCCTTGTTCAAAATCATTTGGTGGTACACTTCCAGATGAATCAATTATAAGAGCTAAATCAATAAAAGCTTCGCATTTATTTTGACCATGAACATAAGTAGAGAAAGTCAGAAAATAGACGACAAATAAATTGATTGATACCATCATCGTTCGCATTATTGTTCTGTGTGCATACTGTAGATTTTTTTCTGCTTTTATCTCGAAATAAGTGATATTGATACCTTTGTTTCTTCATTTTCTACAATCCCTTGAAACTGAAACTTCCACTGAAATGAGTAAATATAGTTTCAGTTTTTTTTAGCAATTTTATTGTTTTGTGTTAGATATGACACAATGTCAATGCTTGGATTCTGAGTGGGTGATATCATTGTTTTATTTTATTGAATAACACCTGATAGTCATGAAAATTGAAGTTTTTAATTTCATCAATTTACTTCCCAAAAAGAACGATTAGTTGCGTTTTATTATGTGACCTCACACATAACGTGTTCGTATCAGCCATCATCATACTTTCTGTTGGATCGGCAAAAAAAAGTTATTTAAACTTCTGATATTTGTTTTTTCATAATAAACTTTTTTCATTATTTCAAATTCGATTAGAAACTGATGAATAATCGAGTTCTTTTTTATTCATAATTATTCGTAACATCATGATCATAAATGAGTTAGACTGCTGTCCGATTAATTTCTTGTCTTTTTAAATAAATTCAATAATACTATGTATCGTAACATTGTTTACTGCACTGATGCATAATAAGTTGCATCATTGTAATTGAATTTAGTTAACATTAACTTGCAGAGAAGTCACGATATGTTATAGATTCAAGGTTAATTCCATTTTTTCTCTCTAACGGTTTCCATTGGCAATGATGAATTAACTGTGGATAATAAATTTTATGCGGTAAAAATCTCGCAGATCATTTCAAAATGACTATTTCGACGAGACTTCCGCCAATATATTCTTTTGAATGAGTTCAATAGATGCATTTCATATGCGTTATCGAAGTAATGTTGTATGAAACGGTTTGAAATGCTTTCAGTTTTAGCAATTCTTTTGGGAAAAGTTAAAATTATAGAATTTTGTTTCAAGCATCATCGAATGTTGATGCACAACACAACGATCATTTCTTATTTTACTAGTCAATCTTTTCTTCGTAGCGCCAGCAATCTGTCGTATTTTTTGAAACGATATATTTAATTTACAATGAATTATACATACGTTGATACTTTGAGTGTTGTCGCCTTTCGAATGGAATAATACACACTATGTTGGGCAAATTCATTTTTTAAAGAAGATAGAAAAAAAACTATGCGATATCAGAGTTATTGCAAATGACCGTCTCTACGTGTAATACACAAGAGACTTGTTTGTTGTTATTAGCACGCACGGCTTTCATGTCTAATTAATGTTTTCTCGCACGGTTGCTCAATTAAGTTAACGCTTAATTACCGAAAACAAGATTATTCGAGGGAAAAAGTGGAAGTCTACCGCTGCTTATTTTCTGCCTAAAAACAATTACTTTCTCGCAGAGTAATTTTGTGCAGATTTGTTTTTTTAGTTAAGATTTAGTGCAACGTGTTTTCTCTTCTTCTTCTTCTTATCGGTATCATTGCTTTAACGATAACACTCATGTTGGAATATTTTCTAACATAAAGTCAAAACACATACATTTGCTTGTCAATAATATCTCTGGTGAATTCAAATCTTTTATCAAATATATCCATCGGATTCGGCAGAAACTCGTTTAACTTTGAAAAGCAAATCATTTTTTTTATATTTGTTGTTAGTAGTTTGTAGGAAAACAACAACACCAATATAATTTTATTTGTGTTAGTCGCATACATAAACTTACATTGTTTCTTGATTGATTCACAAAAAAAAAGAAAAAAATATATAAACAAACGAGACAACAATAAAAAATAATAGATGCGCAGAACATTTTTAAGAAAAAATCATGACATTGACCGGTCTATTGAAAAATAATAAAATCAAAAAGAGAAAAACAAAGTTGAGCAACAATCGGAAAAAGCCTATTGAAGTTTGCTTTCTTTCTTTCTTTCTTGAGAGTCATTCAATTTTAATTTTTACAATTTTCACTTGAATTAAAATGAACAACAGTAGCATTTGTTGTTGCGGTAGTAAATGTTCTTGCTGGTGGCGTCGGTCGAGCTCGATTTAATGATGATTGACGTTGCATTACGACGCGAGTATTTTCACAGATACTAACAGATTGTGCACGACGCATGCCAGCTTGTTGTTGATCATTCTTTAATATATATAGAATAGAAAATAACAAATGAAAAAAAAAATCAGGTCTATATAAATAAAATATTACTGTTTGCTGTTGCTGTTCTTGAAAACTTATTTTCGATGATGATATAGAGTTTGGTGCTGCACAGTGTACAACGCTAGCACTATATTCACTTCCATCATCTTTATCAAATTGAAAAAGTCTAAAAAATCAAAAGAAATCACAGTGAAATAGGTGGAGAACAGGGCAATAAAAAATAGAATGTCTAACCTTCCTGACATTGGTCTTTGTTCATTAGATTTCAATGAAATTCTCGATGCAACACTTGCTGATCGCAAACGTACACGCACATGTGGATCCATTTCATCTTCTTCATCACTCGGTATCATACCAGATAATTCACATTGTCGTTCTTGCAATTTAATGAGTAATTCACGAAATTCTCGGCGTAGTTCTTCGAGTTTTGTTGTAATTAGTAAACGATCATTTTGACTTGATGAATCGTTCATATCAAGATTTTCAAATTGACTTTTTAATGAAAGTAATTCTTGTTGTAATGTTGCCATTTTTGCTTGAATCTATAGATTTAAACAGACAATATAAAATATGAGAAACAAACATGGATTTTACTTCTTCAATTGATAAGTCATCTGACATATCAGATGCACTACTAATACTTCGTTTCGGCAGAGGAAATCTTGGTGGTCGTGTCATTCGACGTATTTCACCTGGGATTCGACGATGTGCAAGAAGTTCTTGAATGACATATAACTAAATATGAATAAACATCTATGATAGTAATGATAAAAATTGTTTCCTTGCTCCTTTACTTGTTCATTGAAACATTTAGTAAAAAATTGTGCATCAGGTATAAGATTTGGATCAACAATAACAGTAAGACGAATTTCATCAGCATAGGATGTTACACAAAAATTAATACTATGAGTACTAATACTTGGATTAAGACATATTACACTTCGAACATCTCGGTTACATATCGACATTGTTGCTAATGTTGTACTACTACCAGTAGCTAGTGTTGTCAACCATAAACTAGCATTATCATAAATACGAGCCATTATCCTATTAGCTAAAATAAATCAATAATGTTAAATTTTTTTTCTTCGAAAATTTCTTATATTTTCTTCTACTTCTACTTACCAATACAGAGAGGAAACAGAAAGTAAGTCAAATGTGTAAACAAATACATCGTAGCATAATCTCCATTTCGTTTAACACGTTTTGTATTATCATTAAATGACCATAAAAGTGGAATATTTCCTTCGACATTCATTGGCAATTCAAGAGATAAATGAGCTATACGATTTCCCATAGCGATATTAGGAGAATTAGAACGAAGATCACATGGTATAACACAATTAATATTCGATGAATAGGGTAAACTATTTTATTTTTCAAAAAGAAAAATAGATACATATATATAATTAATTGAAAACGAAAGAAATTCATATGATTTGCTTGAATAATCTTATTCTGAGATCAATACAATAAGACGGTTTCAACTGCTGCTAAAAGTCATTATTGATGTAAATAACTCGATTGAAAAATAGCATCACACAAACACAATTAGATATTTTTCGCATGAAAAGTTTTTTTCTTTTTATACTAATGACTTACTAGCTATTATTCCCTATTGCTATTTCATTTAAAATTTTTGTTTTTTGATCAATTTCAATTATTATTAATTTCAAACCAATTCATATGCATCAAAACGTCTTCTCGAGAGAAAAATTCTCGAAGTCTGTTCATTTTAATTGACCATGTTAACGATATATCTGAATTTCTTCTTTACTCAACAGGATAGTTTTCACAAACTGCATGCAATTATAAACAAAACATAATGTAAACCTCATGAGAACAAGTAGCTAAAACTATAATAAGCAAGAGTTCAACATTCTTATGATATTAGAGTCAATTATTTTACGACTTTGGATTTTGAAAAATTATTAAACTCTAATAGGGCATTGCCTTATGAATATAGGTCGAAAATCATGTGAAAGAAGAATGCACTAAAGTTATTACTTAAAATCCATGGAAAAACAAATCATTTTCAATCACTCATAAGAAGCTTCATGTATCTAACTAAGATCTTCTTCCAGACAATAAGAAAAAACCAGATAAACTTAAGTCATGTTCGCTTTTGAAAAATATTTAGACTGAGACAAACTTCAAAAATCATAATGCAAATTTGACATAAGCTAAAATGTCCTTGTTTTTTGTTGTTTTCATTGAATTATTTCCCGTATTTGCATTGATCGTTTATCAAAAGCAAAACAATCTTTTATAGTTTATGCTAATTATTAAATTTTAGGTTTTGAATAAATTACAGTATAAAAAAATTCACCTTGTATCTAACTACAACTGTAACTTACACAATCATCTTTTGCATATAACCTATTTTATTCATTCCCTACGCGTGAATAAAATAGAAGCTCGAGACCTGTTTCTTTTTATCTGAGGCAATTTCTACTCAACTATAGATTATTTTATCGATAAGAACTAAAACGTGCGGTAATCGGATCGCGGAATCTTACTTATGTTTTTCCATATATAATTTTACACAAGAAATCACCAATGTCGAAAGAAGATCATTCATACGTGTTCTTGTTACAAGTTTCATTCGACTAGCTTGTGTTAAACTAAATGGTGTTGACCAAACAACTAATCGTTGTTGTTGAGTAGATAAATGCAGATTTGTTGTATCTGTTGTATTTATATTATTATTTTTATATAGAATTCGTTTTAAAATATTATCTCTGTAAGAGTTAAAGATTAATTTATTAAATAGTAGCGTATGTCCAAAAAAATATGCTTTTATATAATCGAATATATGTTCACTACGTCTACCAGCAAAACGTGGTTTTAAATCAAGTTGTGTTGTACGATTATCAACAATATGCTTTAATAATATACGTATTAATGATATACCATCAGATAAAACAGGATGATAGAGAAACAAAAGTATACTGTCACTTGGATGCAATGATGAACGATTTTTATAATGTAATTGCCATAATGGTCGAGTAAACGATAGTTCAGCTGACATAAGTGCTGATATATAAGTTTGAAGATCTTCATCGGTTTGTATATTTCGTGGTATTTCACGAACATGTTCATCAATAGAAAAAGCTGCATAATCAATCCACATCGTACCAGAGAAATGTGAATAAATTAATTGTGAAAAACGAGGAAATAATTTACGTCCAACATTTGAACCACGGCGAAAATTATTTGTTATAAGACGATTCATTAAAATTTTTTTCAAAGAATTTTCGTTCACAGGTCCTATTTTCATTTCAATTTAAAAAAAAAAAGACAATAAAGAAATCAAAAAAACATTCACTATATTAATATTTACCCTCAAGAAAAAATATAGCTGCTGCCATTGGATCACTAGTCTGAGAATTTAATTTCGTTGTTTCTTCATCTTTATTTCTAATTCTTGAAATATTACTATTATAGAACCAAAATAAATCAGTAGAAGATAAATAACTACATGTACATGGTGTAACTGTACAATGATACCGACAAGTAAATCGTGTAAATGCTCTTATCAGCCATGATATTGGCAAAAAAAGTGTTATTAAAATAACACATGGAATAGAAATAAATAATCCAAAACAAAATGATGACAAACGTTTTAGAAAAACCACAACAGATGATTGTTCTGTTGGATGTTTAACATGTTTAATAGTTATATTTTGCATACACGTATTATTTATTTGTAATTCATCGGTTGGTCCTGATCGAATATAACCTGTTCGTTTTCGATCTTGCGTTTGTTGAGAACGTGGCATATCAACTTGCTGTATAGGGAAAAGATTTGCAGTTTTCAGTGTCGGTTTTAATAACGGTAAAGATGGATAACGAATAATAGCAGTAGATAATTGTCGTTTAATATGAGATATACGATTATTAATGTCAAATGAAACTGAAGCTAAATTCGACACGATTGTTTTAGCCCATCGACTGACCGCTTGCATGTTCTTCTAGATGGATAAACATTCATCTTTTTCTTATTAACCATTATAAAAAAATAAATTGAAGTATAAGACCTTACTTGCCCATGTGAGAAAACAAAAAGAATTTATAGGCTAATTTTATTACTCCGTTTTTCTTCTTCCTGATGAAAGTATGCCTGTCACCGTTCTCTTTTTTTTTCAAATATATTGTCATTTCATAATGAATGAAGCTCTTTTCTAGAAACTATATTCATCCTGAGGTATGCGTAATAAGCATAAAAATCAGTAACAGAAATTGTAACTAAAGATAACACGGAAGAGAGAGAGAGAGAGAAAGGGACAGCGAGAAAGGTTGATGCGTACTCCATTTTGTGGGGGGGGGGGGGGGGGGGGTTGGTGTTGAAAACTCGTGGGGTACAAAAATTCCCTGCCCCGTAGACCTCTGATACAAAATGCANGGGGGGGGAGGTATGTGACGGCAGCAACGTTACTGATCTTGTCTTGATGTTTGTTATGTTATGTATGTTTATTTCTCCTCTGTATTGTTCTCTCTTGTTACTTATTGTCACACTTATTATTCAATATTGGCACTTTTTCGTTTTTGCGCTTAGACTCAAAAAATATATATGATAATTTTTTTTTCATCTCCGACTACTATTTTTCTTCTCTATTAAAAAGAATCATTTTTTTGATTAATTACACATTACCTTTCTTTTAACTTGATTGTTCCTTACAATTAATCTAATTAGATTGTCCCTTACAATCGCTCTAACTCGTGTCAGCCACTTGCTGATGGAGTTCTTCTTATTTTCAACTATTTCTGTTCATTGAATAAACTATTATCTCTTCATTCAATATTCAATATTATTTGATTTCCATTGCTGTCATTCTGTCATAACCAATACTGGGGCACCTGGCATTTTTATTAGTTGCGTCTCTGATCCTGATCAAGGCGTTACAGGGGGGGGGGGGCAAAGGGTTGNCCCCCCCCCCCCCCCCCCCCCCCCCCCCCCCCCCCCCCCCCCCCCCCCCCCCCCCCCCCCCCCCCCCACAGGGTTGTGTATTTGACATAGAAACATAAATGTCATTAAAATTGAATCAGGATATTCATTAAACAAAATACAATAACAGCTTGGTATTTTTTCTATTCATCAAAATAAATCATTCCGACGCATAGTTTTTCTGTTTAATTTTTATTTAGAATAAATTTTGTTACCTTGAGTAAACATGAGATTCACATTTTTGGATGGATGATGGTGTCGACCAAGATAGAGAATTTTGATCGAGAACCGAATTCATTTGCATATATCTTGTTGCTGATAATACATCATTAAAGTGCTCCAATTCTTATTGGCATTATTCTAAAAAAGAAAAATAACGAGCATACCACTCGAATTATTATGTCAATATGTTCTATCTCGTTTGTCTCTTTCACTTTATTCAAGTTGGACTTTAATGGCTCCCATATGCATTTCTCTCAGAAGAGTAGTAACTAACGAATAGTACCAGATTTCTTTTTTTTTCTGACTGATTGATAGTCTTTGTGCAGTCATAATAATCATGTGTTTCGTAGTAATGGGGTATCAAAGAGCGAAAAGAGAAAAAATCAGAATGAACGTGTAATTGTCAACAATTGAAAACAGAAGAGACAAGAAAGAATGACTAACTGCAACAACAAGACTCTGATTCGATCAAGGTCGTTGTAGCGCATCGAACACAGCAAGACAACAATCACGGATGATGTGACGTTTTGTGAGAGCATATAAGCAGACACGCACGCACTGTATTTCCGACAGAAAGACACATGGTATTGTCGTTCTCGTCTTCGTCCTCATCGTCGTCGTTGTCGTCGTCGAACGGAATAAAGAGGAGCATTGATGCTAGTAAAAATGAATAAACAGAGCAAAAGACATATTCATGAATGCACCAAATGTGATTTTCTGCTGTATATTTTTATTTTTCATCTGCTGTCACATATTCTGTTTTTATTTAGTCAAAAATAAATTATCAATTATATACAAAGCATTATCCTGTTTTTATTTACTCTCGTTCGATTCTAGAATGTTTGCCTAATGCTAATTAATTGCTCTGATTTTTTAGTTGAACTTATAGTATTAATTGACTTGTCATACGATTTTTGTTTTTCTTCTTACCTCAACCCATTTTGACTGCAAATAGTGTATGCCAAATTATACGGCATTCTTACTAACAGTACGAAGCGGTCTATCGACGCGCGTGTCTTTCTTTCTCTCTCTTTATAACTCTATTCAAGTGGGAAGAAGTAATCGGAGATGTGTGCTTCTTCTCGATAGCTACTCGAATTGGTGGAAGTTGTTCGACGCAATTAAGCGGACAACACTAGCATAGCATACTACCGTCATAACTTTGCTAGTGCGCTCGACGTCGATTATATGCTCCTTTCCTTTTTCTCCTCTCTCTTTAGCATCGTTGTAGCGCATTTGCTTTTTGCTTGCTCATCAAACTAACTACTAGCAGTCGGTTGACGTTGCCGCCGGTGTGTGCGTGTGTGTGTATGTGTGGCATCTCAGTTTTCACACTCAGCTTTAGCTAGAAACATATCTGCATACAAAGAAAAAGAAAGAAGAACTCTATCTTTTTCTCTCGGCTTTTCTCTTTCCTTAAAAACAAGTCGCTGAACAGCACATGATAGAACGATAAAAGAACTCATTTCATCCGCGAAATAGGGCCAAGAATAACAATAAAAAACTGCAAGATTGAAAGAGAAAAAAGGGAGAACTAACATTACTTCTGTTTTTGCTTATTCTCATCCGTTTCACAGCCGACTTAATCTCTCGATAATAAATATGTCAACGAATTATCACGTTTTTTGTTGTTTTGGAACTCATATTGCCTTTGCATGATTAAGAAATAATAGACTAAATAAAATTAGAAAATATCTCTTCCATATCGAGAAACAGATAAATTGTTTGGCATAGATACCTATATATATATATATATATATATATATCCAATTAGTTTTATTCGAGACATACATGTATATAAAAGCCTGCTACAATATGATTCACTTAGTCAACAATCACATCTATGGTTAGCACTCTTATCTAGATGACTATATGACTGGCGCAGAGTCAAGTAATCAATTTTTAATACAAGTAATTGGATCAAAAAAAAATAATAGAAAATATAAATAGTTTATAAATATTCTCTAAATGATATTGGTAAATAAACAAAGTTTCATATTTCAATGGAAAAATAATCAGCATATATGTATTCTTGAGAATGCCATTTAGATTTATTGTATGACAAGAACGTTTTTTTTGTTATTATTACACGTGTACATCAATTTCTAAAGGATACATTTGTCAGAATACATAGATAAGTAACCTCTAGTCATGTTTCGGATATTAATATGAAAACAAAAATAGATTTCTAATGATCTACGGCATATGTTCATTTGCAGTGCGTTCTAGCATCCGATAAATTAGTTTTTCCCTAAGTGATGTGATATATAGAAAACAGACGTTTTCCGTGTATCGTCGATTGATTTGATTGACTATATTGTTGATCAAGTGAATAATATGAATAGTCTGATAGTAACAAAAGCATTAAGTATAAATACTTAACTAATATGGAAAATTTAAAGGAAAATTAGAATAATACTAAAGACTAAATCTAGATTCATTGATATAAATATTTTTTAAATGCTTTTCAAAAAGAATTTATGAGAATATCATGCATCGTTAGAAAATACGGTTTGAGTAATATTCCATATTTTTTAAATTCTATAGCAACATCATTAATAAATTATTATGCACTTACATTCAACGAGTTTCTATTTATATATTTGCTTTATTCTCTTATGTTTTAATCAACTATACAGTTAATATGTCAAGATGAATTACTTCGTGTCTATTTTTGTATACATTCAATTTTCACTAGTTTCAGCAAATAAAGCAATTTTTTCTTCTGAAAACAAAGATGGTGTAGCAAAGAAAATTTATTTTTAGAACAAAAGAGATTTTACAAATGATAATATGTTCTCATTAAGTCAAGGCTCATGTTGACAACTTTACTTTTGTAAGCAAAGTAAATGTAAAAAGCAGCATACGATAAGTACATTCTTTTTTGCCATAAGTTCTTGAACAAATAAACATATCATAGTTTGATTATGTTATATTAATGCAGTACATAATATGTAATCTTGAAAAAAATTCAGTTTGTTTAGCGAAATGCAATGACTTCGTGATTTATTTTGTGCAATGATCGTTGTAAGGAGGACCAATCTGATAATGTCATAAACCTTACATTTTCATTAGTGTTAATTCGACGTCCCGCATTGCTGACCTCGGAAACACCCCTGATGATAAACTATTCATTAGCGACTGTTAGTACTGTCCTCAAAACAGAAGTTCACATACTAAAAAGTTGATTGCCATTTATTATTTATCTAGCTTTTCCTGGAGCGTCGTTTCTCTAACTTACACGCTCGTTCGTGACACATGTTGATGATTATATCAAGTAACATGCCATTAGAGTTATTCAAAAAAAAAGATCTCAAACTCTTATCATATTGACATAGATTGCTTTGTGCGACATTTTAGAGGGACATCTTCAGGAATCAAAAGAAAAATGATAAAATTGAATTTTCTAAAAAAATCAATAAGTTATTTGTGAAAGGAAATCTCAATCATTCATATTTTATGACACGAAGAACTAGTGACAAAATATTGATTGGCTTTCTAAGCAGCAATATTCATTGAGTTTAGTATCAACGTGGCCTTTCCTATATTTTCCTGTACTGCTTGTGTAAGCTAACGAACAATTTGCTCTCTTTTCTTCTTATTAGAAATCTTAAATCAATCAATGGCTAATTTAACAAGTACTCCTCCACCTATATCATCAAATGCAATTGACGATGATAAAAATTCAGGAAAATTAATTATAAAGGCTCAATTAGGTGATGATATTCGTAAAATGATGATACATAATGAAGATTTAACTTTGAATGGTAAGACAGAGGCAGAGCATAAAATACTTTTTCAAATGAGTGAATAATTATATATTTTTTTTTCATCTGCTTAGAACTTGTACTTATGATGGAACGTGTTTTCTCTGGTAAAATCTCAAATTCTGATGAATTAACAATTAAATATTTAGATGATGATGGCGATAAAATAACTCTATTGAATGATAGTGACTTAACAGTTGCATTGCATTTTCATAAACTTCTTCGTTTATTTGTTTTTGTTAATGGTAATGATTTAACAAATACGAATACAACAGACAATGCTAATAAAGAAGGTGACTTAGTTGATGCTAAAACATTTCGTCATGAATTACAACAAATTCGTAATTCCGTACAAACAATTCTTGATCGACTTCAATTGTCAACCAATGAAGTTCAACCACCACCAGCATCAAAAACAGCAACACCTGCAATTGCAACACCTCCTGTTGCTTCCGGTACAACGCGTGAATTTGATCCATATAAAAATGTACAACAACAACAGCAACACCAACGTCCAGCTACTCCAGATGGGGTACAATCGAATTCAAATCGTCTAATTAATAATGAACAACGAGCATCACCAACAGGTAAATTTAAAGGCATTTTCGTTATTTCTATCAAATAAAGTTCATTTTATTACTCGTAAAATAGTTGATATAAAACCAGTCGATGCAACTAATATGAACCACACTCAACCATCACCACACATGCCAGCACCTCATTTTATGCCAACAGTTTATAATAATGATCAGCAAGTTAAAACGAATGCGTTTGGTCCTCCACCAACATCGTTTGTTGGTATGCCACCTTTACCAACAAATATAGCTCCTCAATATGCTCCACCAGCTGGAAACAATCCAAACAATAATGCACCACCAACATTGAATTCTACACCAACTCCACCACCTTCATCAATGGGGCAACCATCTGGATTTATTGGCCAACAGCACCAACCGCCACCTCATCCACAGCAAGGCGGATTTTATGGTCAACAACAAAATTTTTTTCAACAAAGACCACCTGTTACAAATTTTAACGCTAACAATGCATTTGCTCCACAGCAAACAGCGCCACAAACATCTAATTCAACACCAGCAACTATCAATCCATCCTATGTTCAGCCACCACCCATGGCTTCTCAACAACCTTACGGAGGTTATGCTCCACAAAATGCATATTATAATCCAGTTCAACAATATCCAAAGACATCATAATAACTTGTTCGTTCTTTTTCTTTGCTTTTTCTGGTTCTCCTCTTGTTATTATCATTATATTATCTTTTTATTCTTTGTTTCAATATTTACTTTATTCTTCATGTAATCATTGGTTTGTTGTGGAACGTAATATGAAATTTAAAACTCAAGATGACTTCAATTCTGAATTTTAAAATACATAAGATAAAAAAATGAGCGAAAGAACCATGCATAACCTTCACATTTCTACTTACATAAATATCGAGGTACCTTGGATTGTAGACACTTTTGTGATGGATGACATGATGCATGAAGAAGAAGAAAAAAACGAAATTTTTTGGTGTATTTACACAAAAACAAATAAGTTATTATTCGATTGCTTCGATGAGTAGAAAAAAATGGTTCTGTTATAAAGTGTACGCTAGTTGTAAGACTCGCTGTAACATTGCTGCTTTTTCTCATTTTTTCTTTCTTTCTGTGCCTCGCCTTTTTTTCTCCTTGGCTGCTGCATCGCGCACGTCTCGATGACGTATATTCACACACACACACACACACACACATACACATACATACCCATTCTAGTGAGAGCTTACAACAACGGGTTAAAGTACAACAATTTCAATACATATCTTGCATAGAAGGATCGTTTTAGCTGGCTAATAAATTTTTTTATCAGCGATAAAACAAAAACACATGGCTGAGGCCCACGAAGCCGTTGCATTTTCATTTACAGTCGGTCAAGAAGGTACTAGTAAAAGTATTTCAAAAAAGCAAATTTAATAAATTCTGTTTTTATGATTAGGATTTTATGTTGATGTCAGTTATGATGTATTTAAAGCTCTATTCTATGCCGCTTATCGTTCATGGAAACTTCGTTGTTGTCGTACATTAAATTCATTATACAATTCATTATATCCTGGTCATCCACTTCGTGGTATTGCTTGTTGTGGAATTGTAGCTGGTCTTTATTTTAAAGGTCATGATCCATCATATCAAACAATAGATTGGCTCGAATCGAATTTATTCCGACATTATCTAGAACCTCGTAATGGAAAAGTTCTTGCTTGTCTTGTAGTTGGTAGTGGTGTATATATTGTTTTGATACAATTACGACAATATACATTAAAAAAGTTATTTTCGTACCACGGTTGGATGTACCAAGAGCATGGAAAAGATGCTGGACTAATGCCAAAAATTTGGTCTGGTTTAGTCCAATTATGTGTTGGTCGTAATCCATCATTATTTTCATGTCAAAATTTTCTACCATCATTACCAGTGCCAAGTTTAGATGAAACATTACAAAGATATTTACGATCTGTTCGACCATTATATGATGACGCTGAATACCAACGTATGGAAAAATTAGCTGAAGAATTTAAACAAACAATTGGAAGAAAACTGCAAAGATATTTATGGCTTAAATGGTTTATTTCAACGAATTATGTATGTTATACAAACATGAAAACAATAGATTCTTTTTGTAGAAGTTTTTATTTAGGTATCTGATTGGTGGGAAAAATTTATTTATTTACGTGGTCGCTCGGCAATTATGGTTAATAGTAATTTTTATGGCCTTGTATGTATTTTGTTGTTAATTTCAAAATCAATAGTTTTCTGTTGAATTTTAAGGATGCTATTTATATTCGTCCGACCACCATACAAACAGCACGTGCAGCTAATCTAACTTGTGCAGCTTTTCGATATCGTACAGAACTTGACAATGAAAATATCAAACCTGTATGTTAAACATTATGTGAGAAAACAAAATATACATATGATACATATTTATTTTAGTTGATGGTACAAAAACTTGTGCCACTATGTTCAAGTCAATATGAGCGACAATTTAATACAATACGTATACCCGGCAAAGAAGCAGGTATGAATTCGAAGAAAACTTTTTCAATTTTCAAAATTGATTATCATTTAAAATAAAATCGTTGAGAATAATCTTTAGAATGTTTGTTCGAGTACTATTTGAGAGTATGCGTAACGTATGCAAAATACTAGGTATGCAATGTAAATTTATTCTATTCTACTGTACGCCATTCTGAAGTAGTATATGTTTTCATTAATCTTACATTTTTGAGGTTCAATCAGCAGGTATGGAATACAAATATTGATCTGTTTAGTAGTATAACTTCTGACTGAACGTACAAGTTATTTATTGTAGTTTCTGACACAGATTCTCTTGTTTTCATTGTGGTTATCCGTATAAACAAGAAAAGGAGTGATCTAAACATGAACAGTTGTTTCTAACATGTAGAATAGGAAAATAAAAGACCTGTTTCATTGAGTAAAGTGATTAATTCTTTTCAAATCGAGCCGTCTCCAATAATCTGGATTGTTCAGTTTTCTTTACGGAAAATATCTATTTGCTAATGTTTCTCAACATCGACGTAGCTTCAAGAAATGACGATATACGTAGATACGTTAAAGCTGTCTCATTCTCTTAAGAAAAAGTTAACCTATTTTATTAGAGAAAACTTTTATTTTCGAGTTTTTCGAACTATTTATTTTTGTTGTTGTTGTTGTTGTTGTGCTAATACTCATCATAGAGAAAACTTGATACGATCGATTATTGAAATCATTATATTAAGTCGACCATATAACTGTTATGAGATTTATACGTTAAACATACTTTATGAATGAACTATCATTATTTTCTATGCTAAACTTGAACACTGAAACTTTGATTTTAGTTTTTGAAAAATAAAGTTCTAACTTATTTATTTTAAAAACATTTTTTTTAGACAGAATTGTTCATTATGCCGATAGTCGTCATATTGCTGTTTATCATAAAGGTCGTTGGTATAAAGTATTTATGTTTTACAAAGATCATTTACTTGAACCATGTGAACTTCAACTGTATGTTTTGTTGTTTGATTTCCTATTATTTTTTAATGAAACATCGTTGTTTTCTCCTTCTAGTCAATTAGATGAAATTATTCGTGATTCAACTCCACCAGCTTATGGTGAAGAGCATTTAGCTGCATTAACAGCTGGCGAACGAACATTGTGGGCTGAAGCTCGCGAAACATATTTTCGTTCGGGTGTTAATCGTTTTGCATTGGAAGCAATTGAAAAAGCTGCATTTGTTCTTGTTTTGGATGAGGAAGAATTCGAAGTTGGAACAGTAAGTATATTTGATTGACTTACCATTTTGATGATTGTAATTCTCCAAAACAAAAAATAATTGAAATAATTCAGTCGGACAATAATTCTCCGTGGTCTTCTGATAACGAGAGGGTAACTTATTTTCTACTACATATACGTATACACCCTCTTAAAACTAAATATAAAATATGCTATAATGCTTTTTGTGTATTTCGTGGTTGTTGTATCTAACACGTACTAATTTTTGGTTCGAATGTTTGTTTTCATCAATTTATTTTTGTTATATCATCATTTATATCTTAGAATATGAGTGGAAAATTGGATAATTATGCACATGCTATTCTTCATGGTAAAGCATACAATAGATGGTTTGATAAATCATTTACTTTTGTCGTTAGCAAAAATGCTGTGGTATGTAAATAAATAATAATTGAATATTTAATTTAGTATTGGTTTTTCTTTAAGTTTGGCTTTAATGTTGAACATAGCTGGGTAAATTCGATGAAAAAATTTTAGTAACGATAAATTCGATTTATTTTTCTATCTAGGCTGATGCTCCAATATCGGGTCATATGGTCGAATATGTTTTGTCTGACGATATTATGCATTTTGGGTAAGTTAAAGTTATGAATAGTTGTGTATGTTAGAGACTCAAAAGAATCATCGGAATAGTTTTCAATTTCAATCTATAAAACAAATGTAGAAAAAGAGCATCCTGCTACCGGTTGATTCACCAATAATATTTATTCGTGTCTATCAAACAGAATAGTAAGCTAGAAGTAAACTTGTACGTATATGTACATAGGTTAAATACACACAATCACAAACTATGACGCGTCTAAAAATATAACATTTGGCGTGGCTCAATTGAAAACTCGTATATCTTAGTGCTCTTAACGCTGGCAACCTTTGTACAAGATGTGTCAATAAAGACTTAGTTTTGCCTCAAATATTCATATTGTGAATATGATTCTATTATTCTACGCCGGGTTACGGAAATATGCGATTGTCATAGTGAGCCCATCAAACGATTAAACTATGATCGTATCTTTGCTCACGAATTTAAACAGACTTCATATATTTCGTTTTGGCTCTTCATTTGCTGTACTGCATATTGTGCTCATAAATGACACGAATGACTATTTTAGAGTTTGATTAATATTTCGTGATGATTTTAAGGAGTTTTGAAGTATCTATAGATAAAGCACATCATAAAAAATAAGTTGATAATAAACAGTATTTGAGATTTGTTTTAAATAAAGAAAAGGAAGTGATTTATGTCATGTTTTTACGATTTTTTCAAGTACATGGCTCTTCTGTTCGAGAGAATTTGTGCGGACATTGAAAGGATTAGTTATGCAATTGATATTCATTCACCTTTTTTTTTTTTGAGTATATTTGTAACGGCATCATCGCAGACGAAAATATTACGTAAAATTAATTCTTATAATACAAGCATACATATTTCTAATATTGTTTCCAAGCGAACACTTCTTTTCTGATTGACAATAGTAAAATCTCAAATTAATTTCTGTCGCCGATAAATTGGTTTTGATCATTTAAGACATATTTTATACGCAAAAATATAGCCTTTCAGACTAAGATAAACACTCATCGCTACATGAAATACCAGGTAGCGAATGAGAAAATCTCAAACTAAAAAGTACATTGATTGAAATCATCAAAACATAAATATTCATTGTTTCTAGTTATGATGAACTTGGAAACACATGTGGTACACCGCGATTTACTGCACTCAAACCTATTAAGCTCAAATGGAATATTTCAGAAAATGTAAGTAATTTCATTTTTGCTTTTATATTGATTTATTATTTCAAATTTTAGTGTAACGCTATGATTGAGAAAAGCCTTGCTCAAGCAACCAAACTATATAATGATGTTGATCTTCACGTTTATGTTCAAGATGTATATGGCAAAGGTTTGATGAAAAAATTTAAATTGTCGCCAGATGCTTATATACAAATGGCATTGCAATTAGCTCATTATCGAGTATAGAAAAAAATAGGCATTTAGAAAACAAAAAAATATTTTCTTGATTATCTCTTCTTTTCTAAATCAATCAAGGACTCGGGCCATTTCAATTTAACTTATGAAGCATCGATGACACGTCTATTCCGTGATGGTCGTACTGAAACTGTTCGTTCATGCTCAATTGAATCAAGTGCTTGGGTTCTAGCTATGGAAGATCGAACCGTTTCAGTAAGAAAAGAAATCGAATCGAATCGAATTGATTTCATCTGTATTCATACTAAACTCTAGAGAGAAGAACGTGCTCGATTACTTCGTGCAGCTTGTGATTATCATCAACATCAATATCGTGATGCAATGTCTGGCAAAGGCATTGATCGACATTTATTTTGTTTATACGTGCTATCGAAATTTCTGAATCTTGATTCACCATTTCTTCATCAAGTTCTTCAAGAACCTTGGAAATTATCGACTAGTCAGGTAGGTTAAACTCGAAAGTGTTTTTAAAAATAAGCCAAAACGAATAAACGTTATTAATCAAATAAATAAATCTATATAAGACGCCGACCATTTATGATGATAAACGTTTGTCACGATTCATCGCTGAAAAACCACAATTGGCAGAAAAAGTTGGATTATCTCGATTGAAATGTATTTCATCGGCTGGCGGCGGTTTTGGACCAGTGAGGAAAACAGATATCAATAACTAACATATTTAGTGCTTTCTAGTTTTGTTACTCGTGCATATTTGCACTATTTAGTTTTGCTTGTCTGCACCTTCTTTTTTCATTCCTTTAACATGTCTAACAGACATCTACCTACTACGATGAGCGATATGCCGAAAACAACGGAAAAATAACAGATACATGCTTGCTGGTGGTTTTGGTTCTGTGAGTTTTGATGTTTTAGCTTGAATTTTTTGAGATGAAAAGCTATTGAATGAATTGAAACGGATATAAACATACAAATCGAAAGTATCAGAATTCTTTAGGTTTTCAATGAACTTTCCATTCTGTGTTTTTATATTCGGTTTTAATTTTGATGTGCTCTCATTTCGATGACTTTGTCGTAGAGAGACCGAAAGCAAAAATAGAAAATACAGTGATAGACGATGCTTACGTTTCTCGTCTTGTTTTATACGGCTACTGATAAAAGTTGTAAATTGAATATTTTCATAGTTAATTGCATTCACAGTTATTTATCGGGGAAAAAAACGAGTATTTCATTTAATTTATCTATTGATTTCTGCTTGATCTAACTTTAGTACTAGATACACTCCCAAAACATGAATCTCTCATTAGTTAAAACGTTCAATACTCTTCCTATCGGCTTTTTCACAGCAGACAAATTGATGATTGAAAAAAACGAATGCGCGATATCTTGTAAATATACAGAAGCAAAGTGTGTGTTTGCTACAATGCTTAAAAGAAAACTATGCAACTAAAATGGAAGATACGAATTCAGATGTTCTACTTCTTATTTTCTCCTTTGATCATTGTCATTTATTATTTGCATGCTTTTCACCTCTTATTCCTATCTTCTGAACTTCGATCTCTCTGTGTATCAACCTAATCATGCAATTCGAAGCAAAAGATAATTTATGTTATACTATCGGGTAATGCCAACAGGTGTAAAACATAGGTTAAACACTTTATCTATGCTAACATTGCATGGCTAAGTTAGATTTAATATGTTAGCATAGATCATATTAATAGTGAAATTCTCTTTCTTCAACAGTGTAAAATTAAATCTTTGCATGTGTTTGCTTGCTACTGTTCAGTATTCGAGAAATTTCATTAGTGTAATTCTAAAATTTTTATATTTACAGGTAGCTGCGGATGGCTATGGTGTAAGTTATATAATTGCTTCGGAAGATCTTATATTCTTTCATATTTCATCGAACAAATCATCGCCTGAAACGGTAATAACATAATATTAGTGCTTTTTTGTCACAGTTTTTTCTAAATTCATATTCTATGAAGGATTCAACTCGATTTGGTCAACACATTAAACAAGCAATGCAAGATATGCGAGAATTACTCGAAGAACAAACTAGTAGTGCTGACTCAAGCAAGGGCGAAAAGAAATCGTTAATCGATTCATCATCAGCTGACGCATCATCATAATTTATTTTCTATTTTCACAGTTTAGAAAGCTACAGAGATGAGTGTTTTTGTATTCCGATCATTATAGAAAAAGAATCTGTAATGAATACTGCCACGTGTTCCTTTTGAACGAAGTTATTTTCACATTAACACTTACATCTTGTTAAAAGAAGAAATAAAAGTACAGTGAAATTTTGCATTTTGAATTGTCGTTTTTCACCTTTAGAAGTTAGTTAGTAAACAGACAAGTTTTACAAAGAAAGAATTATTATGTTTTATTATAAAATCAGTTGATATGATTGGTGTTCATATTTTAGTCTTGTCGAGCAGCTTGCAAAGATTGGTTTAACACTAGAATTTAACCTTGTTCTTAAAAGTTGACTTTCAAGTTTGTTCAAGCCTTCTTGTTGATCACTAATGTGACAACTTTTTCGAAGTCACATTAATTTACTGGAAGACGATCGTCCTCATACTAAAGCTTACCTCAGTTCAATGTGAAAATTATCTTAAATAAGACAAATAAAAGGACGAGCATTTCTTTGTAGAATGAAGTCCTAGCGATTGGTTTTCTACGTCTACGAATTATTTGTTAATAGTAAGCATATTCTCGAGCTAAAACGTTTCAGGTTCACTCTAAAGTAACCGAAATAACACGCTGCGGTAAATGGTGATTCTTGCAAGCTAAATCGCTTATTAATATTAAACAATTTGACAGAAGTTAGTTGGAATCTTAATATTTGATATTCAAATATTTACGGTATATTTAAAAAGAGCATTATTGCGAGGACTGAAGCTTTTAATGAAACACGAAATAAATAGAAACTTTAAAATAAAGATTTACAAAGTATAGGACTATTTTTCAGTTAAATCCATTGGTAATAAATAGTCAGTTTCATTGAATCTAGCAAAGCCTACTCGTACCAGTTATTAATTGTGAAAACATTCAAATATCGCTTTTAAAAGTCAGAAACTATAGACAACCGATGTATTCTACACAATCTTATGTTATCAAATTGCATTTCGGTAACGTGTTATATGCAAATAAGAATCTTAAAAGAAAAGTATTTGACTACGACGAGTATTTATTGAGTAACATCAATTTGGTTTTTTTTCAATTAAGAAATTGTGGTATTTTTCGTCTCATTTCAATTATAATTTCGACGTCACTTGTTTATTTTGAGAATCAATTGTAAGAAGTAATAAAGAAAAAAGACGAGTAGCATCCACTGCAGTACCCCATGAGAGTGAAATACCATTGCCACCATGACCATAATTATGAACAACCTAAAATTGTCACAAAAACAACTTTCAAGAAAACAAACTAATAGTGATAGCTTTATTTTTCACCAAAAGATTTTTATTTCCATGCTTAATAGTTTCAATTTCAACTCGTATTGGTTCACGATTAGGTCTTAATCCAGCCTAAACTCATTATTGATTTATTGGCTTCAGAAAAAAAACAAGCCAACATCTTTCTCTTACCCAATCCCAAAGAATTTCAGCTTGCTAAAAATTAAAAATAAGTTAAAAATCTATTATTTATGTTAATACTAAATCTACCGCTAAACTTGGACATAATCGAAGACATCTTTGCCATATTCCATCTTTGTCATTCAGATCTACTCGTATATTATCATCATCTAATTGTCGAGTACCACCAAGTACAATCGTTTCATGACTTTAATATAAATAAATAAGTAAACTCAATATTACTATTCGAATCATTACTTTGGTATCATATAACAATTATCGTCTGTATAATAAAAATGTTTAATCCATGGTGCTCGAACACGAATCATTTGACCACGTATTGGTCGTATTAGATTATCGTTGCATATTTCTCGAGCTCCAAAACCAGTGCAGTTCAATACAATATCATAACTTCCTACTAACTGTATAAATCATATTTGACATAGTTTACAAAAAATTAATGAAATAACAAACTTCATCTAAGGAATTGATCTTCTTTTTTGTAAATGTAACTTCTTTTTCAAGTAATCTAAAATTTAAATTTAAATTCAAATAAACATAAACTCTAAAAATCTTACTGTTTAGTTAAATATTTCATATATTTTCGTGTATCAACATAAAATGTTGTGCAAAAATAACCATATCTTCAAAAATAAAAGATTCTATTTGATTGTTTACTTTTTTTTATTACTTATAATGATCAGGAAATGTTGTTAATTCATTTTTTGTCAAATAACGAAAATTATAAACAATATCTTTATATGAAGGATCAGGTCGAGGATCATTAAATAGCTGATAGCCTGATACTTGAGATATGCCAGCTTCAGCTCCAATACTTGAAAAAATCAAACTATTGAAATGATCGAATGATGTTTGACACCAATTTCTTTATTTCCGAAAATGAAAACAAAAAAGTAAAAATAAATACTTTGAATAGGATCTTTATATATATATAGATATAGATATAGATAATAATACCTAAGAATAGATTTATCAATGCCAGGAACAAAACGATCATCGGGTCGAAAAAGACCACCAGCACCATCACTTGTCGTTGCATCAAGAAATCGATCAGCAATAATTGTTAGAGATAATGAAGGATATTGCGATTTTATACATGAAGCCGTCGATAGACCGACAGCCCCAGCCCCGATTACGCACACACGGGTCATATTGATGAGTCCTTTAGTGAAAATTCCTATGGTATGTTGTCAGAGGGGTCATAAGTCGTTTCTTTCGTGCAATTAATAGCAGATGCACTTCTCAGCAGTGACATCTATTTTTATATTTTCCCTATGAATATTTTCTCAAGATTTTTATATAATATGATCAGGGATGGAAAAACTAACATTATTCTAAAAAGCTCATTTCTAGCTGATATCATTTTACTAAGAATGCATCTTGAAAGAGGTTTGTTTCCAGAGAGAGTGACATGAAAATGTATGAACGTGCAGTAGCTACTACATTTTCTTCACAGCCTTTATTTGCGAATATTAATAAAATATTGATCTGTCACAAGAACATGTTACCTGAATTCAATATGAATGAATTGTGTCAGTTGAAAAAAGCTTATTTCTATAGATTCAATCAAGAATACTTTTAGCTTTTTGACATCAATTGAATGAACAAAAAACTTTATTTACTATTATAGCAAATTAAAAGTAAACCATAAAATTATAAAAAAATCTCTGTTACTACATTGAATAGTACAAAAATAATATAAAAAATAACACGGAGCAATATTTTGAAAAACGATAAAAATATCGGCGAATCATGACTTTTTTTGCGTGGAATAGTCTAAATCAAAAAAATTCTAGTGAAGCGTATTGTTATAATTTAAAAATTAGCCTAACCCGACTTGGTATGCTTGGTGAAAATGTATTTGTATTTGGAGTCTATTCTGCTGGTTTTCTTTTGGATGATCGTATTATTGTGCTTTGTTTATTTGAATTCTATGTTAAAAAAAAGAAAAAAGATTCTTTTAGATTACAAGTTGGAGCGTCTCATTTGAAGTAGTTATTATCGTTACATTTGTAGAAGGACCAATTGGCGACCATGCATTTCTAAATCGATTTGATTCAAATGTTGAATGTAATGGTGATGATGTAAGATTCTTCTTTGTATCTCTGCAACTATTAGATAAGCATGATGCAGGTTGATATGCAGATTGATAACAATAACTAGATTCAAGATCACTTGATACATTCATGAGATTCGATTGACTTTCATTATCATTTAAGCAATCAGTTTTTGTTGAACTAATGAAACTAGCATCATCCTATATCATTAAATAAAATTAAACAAGACAATAAATATAGAAAAGCAATAAACTTTATGCTTGCATTATTATCATAAATAAATTCAAGTGAAACTTCCTCATCATTATCCTCATGATCATCTTCACAATTTAAATTTTCTTGTATTTTCCATTTGATTGTCATATTCTATATCACTATCATAATCATCGTCAAAGGAAAATTTGTTGATCAATAGCGATGCTTGCTTTTTTTTTACTATTTTTGTTGATTGTAATCTTATCTGAAAGGAAAAAAAATTCCGTTTTCTATGAGCAAAATTATTCATCAAAACAATGTTTATGAATTTACCTGGGTACTTGCATGATTTGTACATTGATCAATGGAACAACCACAAAAAGGTGTACATGATAAATTATTAGTTGAACATTTACACCGATGACAACCGTTTGTACATTTCATACATTTAGTCAAAGATATGGCATTTGGTACTACTGGTACTGTCATCCATCGTATGACTAATTCACCATCATCCGTTCGTTGAGCTATAGAATAAATTTTGAATGTGCATAATAATCTCTCGTTAAGTTACAAGAGCATTTGATTATTTCGCTTTTCATCAAATTACCTTTTCAGTTGTGTTTGTTGAAAATGATGATGTGTTCGAACATAAAGTGTCATCTGAAGCGACAAAAATACAAGTTTCATTTGCAGAGTTTTCTTTAAAATGTTGATTAGTTGATGTTACTGGTATTGATGACGACGATGAACATTGAAAATTTGTACAATCAGTTAATGGTAAGCGACGATTTGACACTTCAGTTGATGATCTTTTGGTTTTTGATGCATATATGTAACGACGATGGTATTTTGCATAATACTCTCTGTGTACTGTTTCATTTAATATTATTCTTGATAAAGAAATACCATTTATATATCCATATGCTTGTTTTATTTTTTCTTCAATATCAACACTAGCTACTGTTGTGAGTAGATTTCTATTTATTTTTGTTGTTCGACAACATAGAACACATGTGTATGACATTATTGTAGTATTTTGTTACAGGAAAATCTAAAATACATTGAAGAAGATAAGATACTTTTAAAATAAAATACAATGAGTTAAGCGCTAATTCACCATAAATCTGTCATATTGCTTATTGACAACCACAGCGATTGCGAAAATTACAGAGGGCGACACCAATTAAATGTTTTTGGTCTAAAAGTCAAGTTTACGTGCATCTCCGGGCGAAAAGAACTATACCATTCGATTGCAAATTAAATTCAGATTTTTTTTGATACCTGAATGATTTAATAGAAGTTGTAGGGAAAACGCTATATATAAAGTGCATAAGTGACGTTCGAATCTGCTCATAAAAGTCTGAGTCATCTGAGTCTGACAACATACCGGTTATATTGAGATTAAATGAAATAAAAAATTTGAAGTTGCTTTTCATCTATTGAGATAGTGAAGATAAAATAACCGATGTTGTTTTTCTCGAGCTTTGAAGTGTATCTATGAATAGAAGAACATCGTTTCTTTTTGTGTACTCAAAAAAAAAAGAGTACACTATAGAATCGGTCGGTGTGTCCGGCCGGCCGTCCGTTTATTCGATAACCCTTCACAATTACATTCGATTGAGCTGAAATTTTCCACAAAGTTCAATTTCATGAATATCTCGGTCGAGTTCGAAGATGAGAAGGATCCCTCAAGAAATAGTTGAGTTATCGAAAAAATTGTCATTTTTGACCAGACCATCCCTGATGAGGAGGGATACAGGGATTTTTTTTCAAAAAGCAATTTTTTCTCAGAATTATTCACAACATATATAAATCGACTCAGTTTTTAACGCTGATTCCGAATCCGATATTAGTTTTGAACTAAAGCGTAGCCTTCTAACGAAACATTGCCTGAAACAGGTCTCAAAATGCACAAAAACTGCATCCAGAAATCAAATTGCCTAGTTTCTCATGATAATTTTCGTGTTCAGGCATTCTAAAATGACTCATATGCCCCATGC